TGCATCGAAAGAGTCTCTTAGCGTATCGCGGTTAGTGCATCGTCGAGAGAGTGTGCTGAGCTCCAGGAACGACTGAACCGAAGAGTCGGGAGCTGTACTCTGGTGCTTTGCAGTGAAGCTGTCTCCACCGTTATAGTCTGATAACCTGAAGGCTGTGTCGCTGATTGCTCCAGCGAGTGTATAGTATATCTTCTACGACTGTAAAATGTGACTTTGGAGCTGTCCTGATTAATATTGGCTAAATAAAGTGTGTTTCGATATTTCACCAAGTGTCGTCTTTATTCACTCCAAATCGCACGAACCCTTTAAAAGCAACAATATCAATAACTATCAGCAGTCATTTAAATCAATTAACAATTACTTATAGATTAATTTGTAACTTTTTTTTATATAAATTGTTTTCATGCGATTGCTTGTGGTTTTTAAACTATAGAATTTGTCTTATCCTGATAACACTGGTTATTGCTTTTTCATATACTAGAAAAGGGGTGGTCAGCCTTAGCACATTTTTATGTAAGTCTGAGTAGTGGGCATTTACAAAATATAATAAATAAAACAAATGTATAAACTAGGGTTTTATTATTAATAAGCATTTTTAAAGGTTCAGTCAGTTAGGTTATGTATAAAATAAAAATGAATAATTTGAAACATTTAATTCTAAATAACTATAAAACAGTCAGTACTTAATGTGATTATTGAATACGCAGTTTTTACCAGGTATATTAGAATTAATTGATGAAGATCTAATAAAATTAGGTGTTTTAGGTGCATATCGAGCTACTCTCGAACGATATTTTGATTTTATTATATTCATAATAGAAATCATTTGCTCACAACATATGTTGATCTAAATCTACAATAATATCTGACAGCCAAATCGTGTAAATTTGAAAAAATTGCTTGTTGGTACAAATTTTCAAAATTTAATATAATTTAGATCATTTGCAGTTGAAATAAGTTCCTTTTATTTGCTTTCCAGTGTACTATGCTGTTGCAGGTCAAAAATTTCGATTTGGATTTCAGTTGGGTAACAACTAACGTCTTGCAGAGAAACTCAAAAAGGACTTGCGAAAAGATCAGCATTTGTTTTTATCATCTTGAAAATCACGAAACCTAGCACTGAATAAACCCTGCAAATGGACATTAAATTTTTAAATTTATCGTAGTTCGGAGCATTATTGAGTTTGGTTGCTAGTTCCTGCATTAATGTGAATATTTTTCCTCCGAAACTGAGATAGAGAAACAAAAGTTTGTTCACAAAAGAAGATATATGATCAACTAGGATAGGGATCGCAAGCACTCACTAGGCAGTTAATTGCTTTTTTCCAGGTATTTTTAAACACTTTCCCTCAAATTCCAAAATCTCGCAAGTACGCTTTCTTTTTCCCGTGCGATATAGAGGCCAATTTCGAACGTATTGTGGCCATTTAGTCACTTATTTTAAATAAACAGAAAAACAAATCGATAGGGTTTTGCACTTCCTAATCCATATTAAGGAGTAAATTTTAAATTTCCATAGTTTATTGAAATTTCTTCAATAAACTATGGAGATCTTTTCATTTAATGCAAGATATATATGTCCCAGTCCCCTGGAAAAGATTAAAAATATTCTCACCTGTAGATAAAACTAGTTGGCGCAAATCAAGAAGTTCTTCTACAATATCAAAATTATCATCCGTGAAACGCACGCGTAAAGTCTGTGATATCACAGCTTTCATAAAAAGGTCAGTGAAAAGTATTTGCAATACTGCAGTCCAGACACAATTTGTGTAGCAACATCTTGTCCCATGTCAACTATACGACACATGACAGTATTTCTATACAAAGCTATTTTATCACCCATATTTTTGACGTTTAAATCATCGACATTTTGGGCAAATATTAAAAGATTACTTTTTATAACCCCCTCTCCATCAGAATAGGGTTTTTTCGAGCTGGCTAACAACAGATAAAGTTCATAAGAAAGCTTCATCGTAGTTTTCATTTCTCTTCCCGAACAAGGATTGTTGGCCGGCTAAATATTTTTTTTATTTCAATTGATAAATTTCGTTCGCAAGTATGATCCGACAGGATATTTGTGGTTGAAATCACTATGCAGTTATTTGAAATATCGGTCCAGGTAAATTTTTTTTGGCACCGCTACATAAATTCCATAGAGCAAACAAACAGACTTGGAAGTATTTAAACAAAAATTGTTCTTCCCAGGCAGTTTTAAAATCACGAATTGCAACATTTTCTTCATATTTTCTTTTCGATGCCGATGGTTTACTCCTGGACAGAGTGAAAATAAAATTTTCAAAACAACGACGCTCGGTGTCAAAATATAAAAACAGTTTATAATTTTTTTTATTTGTTTAATTTCTGTTTTATATCATTGGAGTTTATTTTGGTATTTGCATTGAACATGTAGTAACGATTCCATAACTGATCATTGATATACTTGTGCATTTTTCAAATATCTCTTAATTTTTCAATAAGTCTTCGCGTACCACTGTTAAAACTCAGCCGTGTCACGCGGGTTGGCCATTCATGTTCTAGAACTTGTCTTCTTAAGATTGGCTAATGCTTTCTCATAAAGAATTAGTCTCATTACTTTTATTAAAAAACAATTCTTTTATTAGCCTTGTCGTTTTTAAATATTTTTGTCATTTGTGTTTATTAGAAAATTTACTTTGATTTGAAAGTTAGAGCTGTGAATGTCTTGTTAATCTAGGCATATCATTTCTACTGACATGTGAACGCCTAATAACGGAGACAATTTTGAAAGGACTGTCATATGAAGCTTGACCCTGTATATCTCGACGACATTATTATAGTTGAATGAACTTTTAAGGATTACTCTGGAAACATTAGGAAAGAAATTCGGAGAAGTTAGTTTAAAGCTATCTTTTGAAATGAAAATTATTTTTCCGGGAAGTTAACTATCTTGATATCATTTCTGCCGTAGGCGTAGTTATGGATCCTGAGAAAATCCAAGCTGTTTGTGACTGGTGTTGTTCTCATAGCGTTCATTAGTTAAACTTTCCTGCACTTGCTATCGTAAATTTGTTAAAGCCTTTTTCTAAGATTGCAAGCCCTTTACATAGTGTAACAGAAGGAAAAAGAACAAAAGTAAAAGTTTTCACGGACTGATGACTGGAGGGGTGGGGAAATTAAAGCCCTGAAGGATGCTTGGACTTTTGAATTAGCTTATTCCTAATTTGAACACGACTTTATTATTCTCAATACAGATGCTCGCAATAAAGGAATGCTTCTTTCACAAGAAATTGACAGCCAGGGATATGCTATTGCTTGTTTTAGTAAAAGCCTCACAAAGAAAGAAATTACTGCGTCCCCAGAAAACACTAAACTACACGGTAAATGAAAATTTAAGAACTAGTAGCACCCCTGCATTGGATCACATTTATTAAAATTCCACATATGAAATACCATTCTTCTTTTTCGTTCTTTCTGATTCTATACAATAAATGTTGTGAAAACTAGACAAGTTAGTTACAAAAAGGTTAAATCATGTTTTGAAAAATGGTAACTTGATTTAAGAGAAAAAAAAAAAAAAAAAAAAAAAATCAGTATGGTTTTGTGAAAGGTACAAGACTACACTCTCTATAAAACTGGAACCTTAACTAGAAACAAGAAACAATTAATTGCGTGGCACTGCTGTTGCTTGAGTAGGGTTCTTCTTCTGTAATATGTTCACCTTTGCTCTCTGCTTAAAAAACTGTGAAGATTTAAAAAAACTTACTTGAACTCTTGCACAGTTAATTTAATGATAGAATACTTAAAATACTTAGTAGAAACGAGTGAAGAAACTTTTTAAACTTAAGTCAAAGGATACCTGCAGGGTTCCTCTGTTCTCATTGCAAAAATATAAGCTGGGAAAACTAAAATACAGTCAAAAGTCGTTAATCCGGACTTCGGCGATTCCGGATTATAGATCATCAGTTTAAATCTCGTAAGATGGCATGTAGAAATTCTAAAATTAAAAATATGAAAGCGTAATTTATGAAATAAAGAACAATTATGATCTAAAGGGTATCAAATTTACAAAAAAAAAAAAAAAAAAAAAAAAAAAAAAGCTTAATATTTATTTGTTTACTTTATTAAACATTTCTTTCAATGTAAGTTCCTTCGTTTTATGTGATAATACTTTCTCTTTAATTCTATAAACAGACATAATTTCTTATTCAGTTACAAAGTTCAGCTGTTCAAGTCCCGTTAATTGCTGAGCCGAGAATACCGACTAACTTGTCAATCGAAATTTTTTCGTTTTTACTAACCTCTCTGTCACATTCTTCATGTCTTTATCCATTTTTTGTTTGATGAACATCGAAACATACTTTCGTTTTGTACGATCCTTTGGGGGCTCCAGAATCGGAAATTCTATTTAACATAATCGAAGGTTCAAGTTTACTTTTATAGTATTGCTCTTACAGTCTGCAAAAAATAATAAGCCGGATCCAATTCGAAAATTAAGGAACAACGCAATCATCAACATTAACTGAAATCGATAATTAGATAATTTTAGCTTATACCGTCCGTTATACATATAACGCGCAAGCGAAAACGTATTCTTCGCTTGCGCACACTCATATGCGCAGTCGTAAAAGGTCTTACACGCACGCGTAAACGCCCATGCGCATGTGTCAACGCGGCGCATGCGCAGAAAGTTTTTAGCTTTGAGGTCCGGATTATAGATCATTCCGAATTAACGACTTTTGACTGTAATATAACTAACAAAATAATAATAATATATGCCAAATATGGAAATTATTTTGATGCTGATGATATATTCCTATCAATTTATTATTCCTCATTAGAAAAGATTGAATTTACTTCTAACAAGGTGAAAATTATCATGAATTATTTGTAAGAATTAAGCTTTTGTCCTGTTTTTCCCTCAAATGGCCATTCTGGTTGAAATTTAATAATCATAAAATTAAAGTTCTTGAATATTTAGGAGTAATTCTGAACAAGAAATTGAACTTTATACAACATTTCAGAGTTATACACTGAAGAATGGAAAGAATTTTGCAAAACTATAACGGAACTTTTAGAAGAGATACACTGTCACTCTAAGGATTATTTTCAATACCATCATCCCGATAATCACAAATGGAATTGGAGTATGGGGCTGCAGGGCAGATGAACCAATATGACTTGAGACAGAAATTAGACACATTGCAGAGAAGTGAGATCTCGCCATCACCAAAGCCTTCCGAATTGTCTTAACTAAAATGGTGAAGGTGCCTAAATAATGATATGTAATAACTGAATTGCAGTGTCAAATGTATAAGCCATTGACTTCAAGAAATTCATCAAGAGCACATTGTTTTTATTATTCATGATATAAAATTGTTGATGAATTTTGTAAACAGCCTTATTTAATCCTGCAAACCGTTCCCTGCAAAATCCTGTTCCCATTAAACTATATAGCTATTTTTCAACTTTTAGTTAATTAATTATTTTATAAGTTTTAAATAAGATTATTTTATTAAAAACTTTTTAATATTTAAATCATACCTGCATAAATGTTTAGTGTTTATCTGTGTACAAGTGATTTATTTCAAACAAATGATAAATGAAATAATCATTTTGTTTTTTCTTCAGCTTCTAAAAATAAATAGAAAAACAGCCAATAGACTAATTTCAATGCTATATGCAACTGTGAAGCAAAATGAACAAAACACATTACTTAAACACTAATAAGAAATCTGTTTATTTTCTTGAGCAAAGAAAAAAAAATAACACATGCACATAGGAAAAATGATAAACCTAACGATAAATGACAAAACAAACACAGAATCAATGGTCCATTGTAATGTAAATGACAAGACTCCAGAATTAGTAAAAATATGTCCTGCTCTTGAAGGAAAACTCAACAACAGCTTTTAGGTCCCACTGCAACAAAGGTTTTAAATTTGTTTGCTAAATTCAAGAGGAGGTAACATCAGCTGCTAGATGCTGCAGCTACATAAAAATTACATACTTCACTATAACTCAAATTCAGCAAGATAAAAATTCATTATACAGACAAACACAAGAGAATAAATATTTGAAATTAATAAATAATATTTAGAAGACTTCTGACTAATGGTAAAAAACTTCTTTTAAATACAATTATGAGATATATTACAAAACACGCATTATTTAGGTTATAAAAGTATGAGCTAAAAAAATATATATGTTCTTATAAGTAATTTAACATTGATGCATATATACATATAATATATGCAATAGAATGTTCATATGAAATATGAACTACACAATATGAATATTAATATGTACTTACATATCATCTTCACACTACACAAATATTCCTTTGAGTAAGGGCATATCCCTGATATTAATGCAGGTTAGCATATGGAAAATACTTCTCCCCCCATCATCATTTTGAAAGGGCTGTCAACTCAAAATGTATATTATCGAAAGTAATTAAGCTAAAGAATCTACAAAATGCAAAGCTAAGTATTGAAGGCTTTGGATAAATAAAGAACAATTTTAATATAAACAGATTACTGAAGTTTCTCATTTATTTTAAACTTATTTACATAATATTCAATACTCTCATATTCCATTATGATATAATCTTATTTGAAATATATATGAAATAATATATTGATTATTTCATATATATTTGAATTAATTGAATATTGATTTGAAAACATCATTGTAAATAACAGTAATCACAGATTAAAATATATTTGACAACATATCAGCATCTTTTAATGATTGACAGAAGTTACTAAATATTTTTATCTTCCTTCTTAGAAGCATGCATCACACCCATACTGTGGAAACAAGAGAATTTGGAAATAAAGAAGCTGAAAACTTCAGACATTTCTTTACTCACAGTCAAATATGAGACTTCTTAATTACCAGATTACTATGCAGAGTGTTATACCACAAGAAAAAGACAAATAAAAAAAAAAAATAACCGAGATTATGTCAGATAATCCTAGATAAAAATTTGAGTTGGATGATGAATTATGTTTCACCAAATTATATATACTAAAAATATTTTTGAAAAATTTGATGTGCACTTCCCCAGTAGAACTGAGACCTTCAAACTATTGATTTGATGTTCACTATTATACTGAATATACTGAAACATGGCAGGAACATCTTAATTCTTTCATAATATTCATGCTGACTTTAGGTATGATCAATGAATCAAATTGATCTTATTGTAATAGTCACAATCCAAATATATTAAAAGAATATAGAATTAAGAAATTTCAACTTAAGGAAAGCTATTGAATTCTTCCAAAATTAGGGAAAAGGAATCCTAATCAGCATATGCATGTACAGTGGCTAGAAATGGCATTACAAATTAGAGTAATAAAACAGCAAATGATTTTGCAACAAATATTGCACAGAAGGGTTTTTGCTATATGCATTCCCACATTATATATTTTGGCTACCAACACACAAAATATGCATCTAGTACACATGATCAGTATACTTGTCAAATACTGGTACAGGTAGAATTTCATTATTGGTCATACAGATATAGTCCTGATGCACTAACTGTGCAATTTAGCACTATTTTTGAGAGGAAATGCCTCGTGGGGTGGTCTGAGGGTCTCCCACTCATCTTGTATCACCACCACCTTTTCAGAGGACTTTTGATTCACCGTGTATTTTAAGTGCCTCCTTCCTGCACAGACACTATTTGTTTACAAAGCATTTTTTTTTTTTTTTGTGTGTGTGTGTGTGTGAGTGTGTAGAATGGCCCTTGGTACAGCTATACATGCATATAGAGTAGAAATTCTCTTCATGATAATACCTATTGCAAAACTGTTCAGTTTCATTCCTGAGTAAGTTCATCCCATATGCATACAAGATAAACAAAGACCTCTGTACATATCAAACGACATTAAATGATGCATAAAAAGTAAGACAACATCACAGGGTGCATTTTGGAGTTCAGAAGAAAAAAATACTGTTAAAATGATTTTGATACATTCATTCAGGAGATTAAAGAACTAACGTAGTCCTGGATCTGCAGCAACCTACATCCTATACCTTATAGTAAGTGACAGTAACTATTGACAGTTAACATCAATGAGAGTTGCACTGCATTGTTGTCTGGTATATTAATAGATACCTGAAGTCTTTTGAATATAGTTAATACAATATGAATTTCTTTGTAGGATTCAAGGGTTGCTTATATATGATTTCATATGGCCATACAAAATGAGTTCTATAGGCTTTAAGTCTGACAATCAACAGACACAGAGCACATCAATGAGAATAAATCACGTGTCCCTTCATTTGACTGACCAAATGTGACATTATAAGATTTTGGATTGCATACCTCTTGAATGAAGTGGTATACCAAATCACTGCAATGACATTTTGTATCTCTTGATTATGCTATGAATTGCTGCTGCACTTTTTTCTCATATATCTGTATAAGGGGAATTTTTGTGATGAGGAAAATATGCAGTATTCTTCTTACTCAGCACTAACAGCAGCAGCTTAAAAATAATTTATTTTATGCTATTCAAGTTTAAATATTTAAAGCCCAAAAGTGGTAAAAATAGATAAAAAATTTTAACCTCTCTCCTCCCTTTATTTTTCAAAAATTTTCTGCAATGTGTTTCTAGATATAGTATTTTGTAGAAATTACTTATAACAATATTTAGCTTGTAAAAGATACAAACACCACAAAACAGTGGTGTTAATCTAAGAAAACTAGTTTTCAGGCTACTTATGATATGAATTCTGAAGTAGTACCATTTTATAAAATATATTTAAATTAAATCTACTTTTCTAATATATGTATTCTGATGGAAATCATTTGACCTCATTAATCATATTACCTTCTCCACATGATATATTTCTTAACCTATAGAAATATATTCAATACACTAAACAACTAATAATAACAGTGAAAAAGACACATCTAAAATATACATTATGAGTAGACAACCCTATTAGTAATTTACAGTTCAAATTATTTGAAAAAAATGTGATAACAGTAAACACACTTGTTTATAATGGGCAGTAAAACTAACTTTCTGGTTATAACTGGTTTCTGGTAAAAAGAATTAAAAATTCCTTTAAGAATAAAGATGATTAAGAAATATGGCAGTATAATGATTAATTAAAAATAGTTCTGATTGTAAAAGAACTTCACATCTTGAGACATAACCTTGAAAAGTAATGTGAAAAAATACATAAATGTGAAAAATCACGTTATGATAATAATGAGGTTATGGCTTCTGAACATGGTATCTTTGGTAATATGGCAGTTTTAAGCACAGGCAGTGATAAAACCACATCACTGAATCTGGCAGTTTACTTATAGACAGATATACACATATAAACAATGTATACAAATTTTATACATGACTTTCACAGCAATTTTAAAAGAAAAGCTACTTGGCATGCTAATGTATATATGAACTTCTCATGTATACTGATACACAAAATGCTCTGCTTTTTTAATTTTTTAAAAATATTTTCAGATATTCTGAATTACATTCAACTGCTCACATCAATATTTTAATACAACTATTTATTATTTATGTAATATCTGCAATACACAAAGAAAAATACAACTTATCAAAAAATATATTCGCACAAATTCTTGCACAGCTAAAATTCATTAAATATATTTGTGTATTTACAATACATTACATAAAATAATGCAAAATCAAACAGCAGTTCTTTTTTGAAGTGAACGCATTTTATACATAACGTGCAGATTTTACATAAATACCAGCTCATATCCCCATACATAATACAATTTTAAGAACATAAATCAGTAGATTTGGCATTTTTTTATTTCTTTTTTGATGCATATGCACTAAAAGCTAAATGTAACGAAACTTTATTTTCTGCATCATTCTATGTTTAGATGGAAAATTTTAACATGCAAATTGAAATTAGGTCAGACTTCATCTAAAAAATTATGAAAATGATCTTGCAAAGTAAAGAACAGATAATCTCTTAATAACGACTACAGATACCTTTAGAGGGTTGAGCCTTTAGTACGTGATGCACTACAAATAAATTTTTTTATTATTTTCTTCCTTTCCCATTGAAAGTTAATAAAAATTAAGAAATAACCAGATGAAGCAAAATATTCCATAATTTAATATGAAATCAAATTATGTTTTCATTTCAAATTGAACTCCTTGCTGTACAAATAATTTTTAACACATACACTATAAATAAAAACACTATCAAATGTTTTAAATATTGCTTTAATGATTTTAAGAACTGATTGCATTCACATAATGCACATTAAAAATTCAGTGTAGCACCATTGTACTTTGAGAAAGCTAATTAGATCAGAACAGAACAGAAAACTCAATATGTCATTAATAATAAAAGCAAATGTTAATATTTTTAATATATAAACATGAATCTGCAACAAGAAATTTGAAATAGCTTAAAATCTAAATATTACATTTGCCACATTAAAAAAAATAATGTGCACATTTCATCATCTAATTTTTAAGCATGCTTCTTTTGATACTAAAAGCTTTTGAATGCAGATGACTGATTAACACAATTATAGCAAGATTATATCTTATTCCCCCCAGATAAGTTACTATATAAGTTCACTTGTCAATACAACTTGATTTATTTACTCTAAAACATAACAAAAATAGCAAAACAGATAAAATCTTAGGCACAGAAGTGTGACAAAATCAACTGTGATTGTATAATTATAATATACAAAGATGAATACTAATATAAACTTTAAATTGCAGTAAATATTAATCTGTGAATAATTACTGATGCAATGATATGAGTAAATCTGTTGAATAAACTAATATTATACAGATAATATATAAATAATGAAAGTAATTTCAATATAAAACTGAGAATTCCAAAATAAATTCTTTTTTAAATTAGTACATTGACCATCAGCTAGCCAGCAATCTTGCCTATTGTATGACTTTTGCTAATGGCAAAAATAATACACCAGGCAACACATGCTGATGCAGAACTAACATATTACTTACACAAGTTAACTTGAAAATTTATTTAAAAAATTATGTTTGTTACCTATACAAATAATTACCTAATTAGCCAGGGAATTATCCTAGTGCATATTTACTTGAGTACAATTAGCAAGTTAAGTACAATTAGCAAAGAGCAATAAACTGATAAATTATTTAACATAATATAATAAAATGTAAAAAAGTCAGCAGCTAAATGCAAAACTAATGAATGCACAGTATCATTTACAAGCATGATTAAAAATACATTTAAATACTAATTCTGCACTTTATGACATGCTTTTATTGCGCCCCCCCCAAAAAAAAACTGAAAGTGAAATGATTTCATGTGCATAGCAACTTTTTTAAATAAATGTTACTGGCATGATTGTTATACACCCTCTCAATAAGGACACTAAAAAAATAAATTCATTAAAAAAATTACAACACAGACTTGAATTTTAAATCTCAATATGTAAAAATTTTGCTTACTTTTAAGTGAAGAAAAAAGTTTAAGAAATTTTTACAAAGTTGTTAATTTGGCTAAAAGCAATCTTTCTTAAATATATTATCCATTAATAATGAAGAAATATTAAATAATATTGTTTAAATACATAATGCTCACAGATAATAAATAATACTTAAATATAATATTTTGTACACCATTCATTTGCTAGCCACAAAAAAGACCTCAGTTTGACTATACCCACAGTTAAAATGCCTTCGAATCCTGTATTTATGATTAAATGTTTCACCCAGTATAATTGAGAACAATTTTAACCAAAAGATTCCTACATCAAAAGCAGCATCACGATACACTGTAAATTTTATATTTAAAGAAACAGCATATAAATAGGAGGGAAACTTCAGAAAATTTATAAAACAGAAAACAAAATTACTACCGATGTCGCATCAAGGCTAACTTTTATGAAAACTGAAGAAGGATTCACATTTTGTCATCTGCATATCGTATTACAAAGTCTAAAATATAACAAAATCAAGCTTTATTTTAATTTATTAGATCCATAGCTGCCAACCTTCAAATCTTAAAAACTGATAATTTTGAGAGAAAACCAGGATGTTTTCATGCTTTTCAGCAATGTCATTTTAAACTGACTTAAAATTACTTTATAATGCATGGTTCAGGTTATTAAACTATTTTTAATTCAACATACTAGCATTTAATTTAGACATTCAAAATTTTTTGTTCTATGATTAATTTCATTTTTTAATTTTCTTACACTTTTATAAATAGAAAATTCTCAGTAGTGAAAGACAGCTTTTTACTGAAATACTTTTAAGTATGACAAAAATAAAATAAATAATCAATCTATATAGTATTTGTTGGATACTAAAATATCATACACTGAAGTAAGCATAATTAAATACAAATATTAACCAATTAAACATTGCTTGAATCTTCATATAAAAGCTCAGATCAATAAAATGTAACATAAACGAAAAACAATCCTGAAGAAATGAAATTTAATAAGAAAAATTATTCTAAAATTCATTAGAGGTGAAGGAATGAAATGTGCCTAATTAATTTGATCAATTCAATAAATTTCATTTATTGCTGGGAAACATTTTCTGTAATAAAGGCTAAAAATTAAAAACAGAGATTCAGTGATCTACTAGGAGATCAGAAGAAGTGATGAAATGAGTTGGCAGCTATGAGAACCTCTTCATCAACTCATATTTTCAAGTAAAATCTTATATATTAAAAGATTTTGCAGTTATTATTATCTTCATTATTAATATTACAATAATTTGGGCTTAAAAGCCAATTATTTAAGATTTCATGTGAATTGCATTTTGTATTTTCAAGATAAAACAAAACAAAAAACTTCATATTAAGTATAAACAATTTGGATTATGCAGACTGAATTAAATGAATATTTTCTACTGAAAATGTTTAATAGTGTACAAAAAGTTCACACAATTTTGAGAAGCCATTAAGCTTACATTTGAATAATAATAAGGAATTTGATATAAAAATGTTAACATTCCCATCCTTCCAGTGTAACCTCTATAATTTAGTTTAAGCAGTAAAACCAGTGTAAACCAGTGAAAAAAAATTTCTGTTTCTTAAAAAGAAGTACACAAATTTTTTATGGGTTAAAATGCTTATACTGTAGAAAAGAATATAATGTTTAGCCTTAAAAGAATATTATGCCACTAGAAATACAAAGTTTAAGACAAATTTTACTATTAAAACAAATTATGACACTTTAAAATTAAAACTTTTATAACGTAAATTACAAATAAATAAGTCAAAAATCAGCTGCTATAAAAAGAATATTAAAAGTATAATACACTTCTAAATGCATTTATTAAATATTTACATAAAATGAAAGATATATATTTGCCCAAATAAAAATTTGTTCACAATACAATTGAAATGTATGATAGTTATTTAAGCAATGTACTGTTTGCATTTCATGAAGTATGAAAATGATTAGCAAATCCGCAGTTCAGAACATCTGTAACACCTCTGCTCATTTCTCAGTATCTCCTCCTACCAAATAATAAAGCTCAAGTGTAAAAATATATATATTGCATTTCAAAAAACTGCACAATTATTATTACTGGTAGCTTGAATTGCCATGTTTAATAATCTCATAATTCTGCAACAACTTTTTCCCACGTATCATTTCAAAAATCCATAAACTAAAAGAAAGGATATCAAACGGTCAGTTAAAACATTTTGTGGAGGTCCAATAGCAAAACCTAGACCACTCATATTTTGTTCTTTGAATAGATGAATGAATCAATGGGATCTTCAGCAAAGATGTGCTTTTCATTCAGGAACTGATTCAAATTTACTTTATTGAGTCAATGCTGATTCGTTAAAAATGAACAGTAGCGCTTTTAGAGTTTACTCATTGAGAGCTTAATATTGGAAGTTCAATTTGGCTAAAAACTAGGAAAGTTCGTTTTCCATTTGAGGAAAGAAAAGAATGTTTATTCTTCCATGTTAAAATTAAGTTCGGTTTGCTACCATTTTCAGACTTTTTAAAAATCTTCTTATTCTAGAATTGTATTGTTAGTTATATGTAGAAAGGAGGCATTGGGGAATCTCAAAACTACAGCTGAATGAAATCAGGCCAAGAAGTTTGCAGTTCAATTGAACCAATTCTTCCGATACTCTGCTCCTTCAATTCTTTCCATCCTTTGCTACATTCCTCGCTAATTATATAGCTGCTTTGTTCCAGTCACATGAAAAGAAAAATTCCAGGCAGCTAATAGACAGCAATGGTTAGGATGCATCTAATTAGGGAAAAGCAAGCGAAAGTTTTATCTGCTTAAGAGAAGGGACGCTTTTGTAGAGGATTTTTTTTTACAGGAAACTGGCTCATATCTAAGCATCGGAAAAACTTAAAAATGTCCATACAGTCAGCACATCTGCTGGGATTTGAACCCAGGTCAAACTACCGGCATTCAGTGACTCAGTTGCTGGCAAACCTCTGACAGCAACATTTTGATTACATACGCATGACTCTTTTCAAAAGTATTATTTTACATTCATTATTTTTATATAAATATTTTTGGGCTGCAGAGTGAAACATATGAATTTTTGTTATCTCGTATAGGAAAAACTGCTTTGATGCACGAGTGCTTTGGAATCGAAGCAAGTTTCCCAAACGAATTATGCTTTTAAATCAAGGCACTAATGTATTTAATTTAACTACAACTATCAACTTTGAAAATTATCTAATAAATAACTAACAATATTAATTCCAAAAAGGTATATATAAGAAGGAAAGGGAGAAAAAAGAAAACATGCCACTTCAGGGGGGGGGTTGGTACAGTTCAGAATAATTGAAATAATGTGAAAAAAATGGCAGATTAAGATAGAAGGATATTAAAAAAAAAAAAAAAAAAAAAAGAGAGAGAACTGAATTCTCACTCATATGAATTCTACAATTTATGACTTCTTAAAGAGTTTTTGTCACCCAGTTGCACGAATTTAGAACTCATTTTTATTCTCTTTCACAGACACTTTCCTGCTTGCTTTGAACATTGCTCATAATAATCATGGATGGACTGAATATGGTAAATAATACTGATGCTATTTTCAGTTAATACCAAGGTTTATGTGTAACATAATGCATAAATGACATTCTATTGTAACAGGCTTTACTTATTTAGATTTAATATGACTTACCTAAAATGAGTACCATTTACAACAGACATATTAAAGTTGCAGTGTTTCAAAAGTATTGATTTACATAATTTTTTTACACTTACTTTAAAAGCAAATGCTTTCAAACATTTCAGTCCCACATAAAAGTTATACTTATTTTATAAGATATTTATGTACATATAAATATGAATTATTTAGTATCTATAAGCACTAAAATAAATATTAAATTTGTGAAGTTCCTCATCACATAGTTTCTCACACATTCGATTTTCTTTCTTATTTTACAATCATGTTTCAGCAAATCTGTTTCACTCTTTTTACATATTAATTATAATGAGATCTAGAGGAAAAAGGACAAAAGCAGACTTTTTAATTCCTTTTCTACACTTCTACAAAATTTGGTCCACATAATCTTGAAAACTCAGAAGCAAGAGACAAAAAGATTAAATAAATAAATAAATAAATAAACACAATACTGGCAAAATATACACTAGCAAATCACAGCATTTTGTACCTGGAAATTCAATATTCATCGAACTGTTTCAAATATTTATTTGATAAAAAACAGATATGTTGAAAAAAAAATGAAGTAATAACAGTAAAAAATATGATTTTACTACACATTATTCATGAAAATGCCCTATATTACAGATATTTCGAAAATTTAAAGAACAAATAAAATTTCATTTAGTTTGGTTGTACATTTAACTAAAATGTTATTCAAATGAAACAAGTGATCCGGATAAGATTTGATTCAATTCTGCTTGAGGCATTTATAACTCTTGGCAATACAAAAATGTGATTGTTAAAATTAAGTTTTTCATTATGTAATTCTTATTAACAAAGACTTTACTCTGTTTAAAATGTTTTAATTCAAGGTATATATTTCTTTACAAGTTAAAAATACATGAATAAAAAATAAATATAAATAGAATAAATAAAAATTACCTCAAGAAAATAAATACAAGTTTTTAAATACACTTTAACACAGATGACAAAATAAACTTACAAAGAGATGAAAAGCATAAAATACAAATAAGAAAATTTATACTAACAAAAAGAAAAACATTTTTCTACATAAAAATAGTAATAGGAAACAAAATAATGTTAATCAATGAACAAACACAACCTAATTTTCTCAATGTAAAACAAAAATCAAATTACACTACTTTTTTCCATTCATGAACACAATATTTGAATAAATACAAAAATTTCTGTTTATAATTTTATGCAATGATGTTTGGAAATATTCTTTCATACGAAAAAATGTTTAAAATATTAACCAAATTCAAATATTAGATTATGATAAAAAACACACAAAAACATGGAGTAAAATCCAGGCAGTGTATCTGGCAGTGTCCTGTATATACAAATGTTTGGTGAACCATAAAAGGCCAGGTGGTTTCAAAGACTAGGATGGTTTATAATGCAAAAAACAGTTCAAACTTTCCTCTAGCGCCTAAAAATGAAAGATATTAACATTTAAAAAACAGTTCAACTAACAAAGAAATGATGTAGTACAAATAGAATACTTTAAATAAAAGTGATCAGGCATTTCAAAAGCTGATGCCAACAAAACAATTTCAGTGAATGAAGGATGGGCAATATTTTGCCTAAACAATTTATTTCAAACAATTAACATATTTAGCAGGAAAATTTTTAACTGTTCATGTGTTACAGTGAAACTACTTAAACAAAACACAAGATTCTAAATAATTCTGATCTCCTGTAATACGGTCTGCCTTAAAGAGTATGATTATCAGTATGATCAATGCAAATATTTCGTATTCTCAAGTCCACTTTTAGAAGTATTTGTCATGAGAAGTTCATCATCAAAATACATGTTGTATTTTTTGCAATAGCTCCCAGTTAAGTAGAGTCTAGTTATCACTGTTACAGATTTGAAAGAAAAATTATTATTCTGACAATGGATAAAATCACATAACATTTTGCTCAATTTTAAGTTTTATACCAGAGAAGAGTTAATATTTCAGATATTTTTACTTCCTTGCACGAAGTAAAAAGGAAGTATTGTAATCGCGAAATGTTTCAGGCAGGATAGCATATTTCAACGAAAATATCCATTTTGATTGCTATCAAATGCAATTTAACGATGTTTTCGCATGGCATCTGTATGTAAGGGCAGGACAAGGGATATCCCTCCTAAAAAATTGTAAAAATAATTTAAAATAAATTTTAAAGAGAATTTTTTTGTGGCATCTGTGCATACATACATACGTATCTCGCATAACTCAAAAATGGATAGCTTCAGAATGTTGAAATTTTGTATATAGTACTCCTATAACATATAGATGTGAACCTCATATTTTGGTTGCAATCGGCTGCACCAAAAGTACATAAATACATGTATATATATATCCACTCTGTTACTCAGCTCAGTGATCTCAGTTTCTTTAATCTTATATGTTTGTAAGTTGTGCATTTTTTGCTTTAAAAATGATTGAATTATGTTGTTCTTATCTTCCGGTTAAGGTTTTTATGCCTTTAGTAAATCTGTATGCAATACTTTTAGAATTATCAACAATTTAAAAGTTGTTTAAGAGCAGCTAAGCCTAATAATTTTTTTCCATGACGGCCATTGCTTGTTTACATTTGAAACAGCAGAATAGTAGATTTGTTGCCATCTAGAGAAAGTAAGCTTCACAATAACAAAGATAATGCTTTCCTTTTATTATTGCGAATTAAATCATGCTTAATCCATTCTGGAATTTATTCGAAAAAAGAAGATTTACTTTATAATTTTCAATACAGACATCTTGAGTTTTAATGTATTTTTGCCTTGTCGTGAAGTGAGAACTGAATTAATTGAATGGGAAATACTGAGTCGTCTGTGAAAACTGTTTCTTTTTTTTTTTTTTTGTTGTTGTTGTCCTTTGCTTAATTTCTTTTATAGGTTGTTTTAGATTTATTATAGTATTTGAATAGAACATGTGGCAACGATTAAATAATTCTTAAGATGATATAAATTTTGTGCATTCTGAGTTAAAAATTTAATGAAATGTAACGCTGTTAAGTGAACCTAGGGCCCAGAGTGTCACTATGGTAAACAAATACAGTGAATTTTAAAGAGTGTATTTATTTTATTGTAGTTTATGCACTATCGACGAAGTAGATTTAATTCAATCCAATAAGTTTAAATGAAATGCAAGAAAAAACGTGTATAATTTAAAATTCTGCATAAGGAAGTCGTGTGGTGTACACATCAGATTTTTTTATCATTATAAATACAATATTTCACTGAATAATGTATTACCAGTTAATTAAAGGGTCTTCAACATATTTTCTTAAGTTTTCCCTCACGAGTCTATAAAAATCCATTCCAACTGGAGTTTATCTGAGCCAACAGAGTTAGTTTCATGTATTGACTGCAGTTCAGATTTTTTTATTTGCTGCACTATGGGAAAAAACTGATTTTGCAGATGGGTCAGCTATGTCAGTTGTCTCCGTTAGCTCAGATAAACTCCAGTGGGAATGGGCCTTAATATTTTCAAAACATGTACTTCAGAAGATTCTGAGTACACAATATAGCTGAAATAAAAATTCAAAAATTATTACATAAATCAGTCTTTTTAAGGACCCCACAAACTCTCTGAGCATGATTATTTGATTAATCTTTCATGATTGTATGGAAAGTAAGATAATAAACTTCATATCAATAATATTCATAAAACTCTGAAATACACTTACAGAATACGGAACTATCCTGTAAAATTCAGAACATCTGGTCACTTTATCATTATTATTTTAAAAGGTAAGGGAAGTTAAGAGAAATTCTGATTTACAATTCAAAGAATATGTTTATATAACTTACAATACATACATATTTACAACATTTTTACAATAAAAAAAATTTTTACTACTTTGTGAGCTTATATTATAATAAAATATGTACATTAAATACCAGAATGAATAGCATTATTAACAATGAGGTTATTACGGATGTTATTCAAACTGTCTTGAATCACTATAACTGTTTAAGAATGGACTTTCTTTTCAATTTCCAAATCATGTATTTGGCATCACAAAACTTAAAATATCCCGTTAAAATGTAGTGTGCCCATTACTCCAGACGTGACAAAATTATTTTCCTACATGATAATGCTCATCTGCATATTGTGCCACCAGTCAAAACTTATTCTTAAACATTCAAATGAGAAGCGTTCTCCCTCCTGCTGTATTAACCACAAGTTGCTCATTCTGATTATTACTTGTTTCAATTGATGATGCACAGCCTGTCTCAGCAATGCTTCGTACCATATGAAGATATTAAAAATTGGGTTCATTTGTGGACAGCCTGGAAAGATGAAGCACTCTTCCAATGCGGTATCCATATGTTGCCACAAAGATGGGAAAAAGTTGTGGCTAACGATGGACAATACTTTGAATAAAACATAACATACTGTTCTTTCACAATAAATGCCTAATTTCTGATAAAAAATGGCAGACTTATTTGTACTCCCAATATATGAACTGGGTTACAAATTTTTGCACTAAAGAATAATAGTTTTGTTTCAGATTACATTTACAAGTAAATAGTTTATTTTCACAGATGAAAATGAATAAAAAAATAACCTGATTAACAAATGTGAATCTACAATCTATTGGTTTCTCTTGAAGACTATATATGGTGGGATCAACTTGTGTATTTCAAAAATGTTACATACAAACATATGTATACCTCAAAAATGCTAATCCTGTACCAGAATCAAAACAACAACAAGTCAAGAAATAAAACAGTAACTATTTATATAACAATATATGAATTTTTATTTATGTGTAGAAGGGGGGACGAAAAGAGAATGAAACTAGATTGTCTTTATTTATTGTCAGGTTTTGTTCTACTTGGAAAAATTTCCCTGAAAACTTAGAAAGTGTTCATAATATTTTAGTTTAAATTACGGAGGTCACTATAAAGTGTTTCAGATATGTGCACATGGGCAGGGAAAAAAAAAATATTAATAATAATGGTTAGACTTAAAAATATGAACTATTTTAGCCTAACAGACAATTTTTTGATGGCCAATTGCAAATAGTTAAGTGCCGAATAAAGTTTAGGTAGAAGGAAAAATGAATTCAATATGAGAACATTATCATGCTATGATTTTCTATAATTTTAAAGTGGGATTAAAATTTTAAAAAAATGTGTTAAATATCTACAATTAACATTTGAAAATGGTGGTCTATCTCGGGCTATAATGAGAACATTATCATGCTATGATTTTCTATAATTTTAAAGTGGGGTTAAAATTTTAAAAAAATGTGTTAAACATCTACAATTAACATTTGAAAATGGAAGTCCATCTCGGGTTATAGTATTCAGATGGTTAACAGAATTTCACAGAGGTTGCAAATCTCTTCAGGATGAAGAACACACAGGAAGGCTGTTGTCAGCAATAATCCCGGACAATGTGTCTGCCAAAAAGAAAATGTTAATCCATGATAATCACTGCACGAACTGAATGATACAGAAGGACCTTAACACTGGATCTACCACCATACATAAAATTATTTGTGAAGAATTCTATATGCAAAAACTAGTTTGCTGTTGTGTTCCCCATAATTTAATTCAGCACCAAAATGAACAGTCACATTCCAACATGTCAAGAAAGTAAAGTATGGGTCTTTGAAGATAATCCCATATCCATAATGGTGAAAAGACAACATGCCATGGAAAACTTAACATCTGTCGTTTTCTTCAGAAGTACAGAAACAGTCAAAGCCATCAAGCTGGAATGACAGAAGACAGTCACAGTTAACTAGTACACCACTAAGTGTCTTCCAGAAACTCTTCAAGAAGTGAATGTTAAAAGACCATGCTCCACTATGACAATGCATCCTCTTATTCAGCAAGATTTACATAGGACTTTCTCGAACAAAAACACATCGAAGTGATAGAACATCCACCTTATTTACCCAACCTAGCTATGTGTGATTTTTGGCTATTCTGTTATTTAAAAAAGAACTTACATGGATGTCATTTTTATTCCAAAGACATGACTGATGAGACTATAAATGCATATTTTTCATAGATTCCAAGAACTGAATGGTTTAAGGAATTTCATCTTTGGAAACTTTTCCTACAGAAATACATTGATGTGGGAGGAGACTACCCTGAACACTCATAAAATTTTGTAAGTGTAATTGTAAAAACGTATGTGTATCTCAAAAATATGTGTATCTCAAAAATTTCAAAGGACCCTCAAAAAAAATTATTTAAAGATTAATTAAACATGTTACACTTATTTGAAAAAAATAACATTGAAACAATTTAATATTTAACTGTCAATATACTTGAATTCCAAAGTATAAACAACAACATTTTGCAGGTATCAAACTTCAGATAGATTAGATAAAATAGACAGATATCAGAAGTTTGTTTTTTCCCCTTTATGATACTATTATAGTTGTTTATGTTATGTTTTAATAAATGTTCAGTAAGCGAAATAAAAAATTTAATTTAAATATTTTTTATTTTGTTGATAATTTTTTTCCATTTTGTAAAACAAGGGGGGGGGGAACCACATTCAGTTGTTTCCAGATTGTGCATACGGTTTAAGTGGAATTTGATTTTGAGACCACTGCCTTAGGAGAATAACCAACTAAAATTAATATTTATTTATTTTATTTTTTGACATTGAGGGTTAATTTTTTTTGTTTATTAAAAATTTAAATAATGAGAATTAATGTCACACATTAAATGCTTTTATTAGTTTCTGCAATTTTCAAGCCATTTCTGCTTTTATTGTTTCTGCAAATATTATTTAGCTTTCTAATATAAATTTTCAAATCTCAATTTTGATATGATTTAATTTTCAATGGTTTTTCAAGTATTACCTATAAGATATAACCCAAAATTCTTAGTTCTGTCTTTCAATTCAGATATAAATTTATAATATATATACAACATTTATAATATACATATAAAACATATAACATTTACAATGAAGATAATATTTAGAATTAAACATTACATAATTCTTATAAAAAACACAAGAGAAATTAAAAACAAAAATTAATTAAATGAAGATTTCATTTTACTTACTTTCAATAAGCCTTGCTTATTTAGTTCTTTCCTATGTTTATACACACACTGCTGTAAAACTGAATAAAGTTGCAGAAGTTTCTCAACAGTATGATGTTCAGTAACTCTAATTAATTTAGACATAAAATTGTCCAACATAACACTGTCAATTATTATTCTCTTTTCAGGGACTTCATTATGGTCTACAAAACCTAAAAATATCACACACTTTTACACAACTACAAAATAAAAAGAACAAATGTTGCTTAACTGATTAATAATAAAACTATTACAATGTTGACTGATATTTATAATTACAATAAACTATCAAAGTAACTTTACAATCAATTTTCCTTAAATGATTTATGATAGTACATCGTATGAAAATTAGTTTAGATGATTTATTATGGCAATGAACTCAATATACAATTTTTTTTGTCACTTTTAAATAAAAAATTTACAAAAAGTAACTTTTTATGTAGTCCTCTGAAACATATAGTTATACTTAATGAAAGTTTATACCTCACACACACACACCAATAATAATAATAATAATAATAATAATAATAATAATAATAAATAAAACAAAAGAACTGGACTCCCATACAATAAAAATTGCCCCAGATACTTAGGTATGAAATCTATACTATTAAATTTTTTATATCTTTCTTAGCTTGCCTTGAGAGGGTGGTTAACAAATAAGTGAGGGTAATTAGAAACTCATTTTCCTCTACTTAACGTAATTCAGTGATAAATTAACACTAGTATACAGGATCCTTTAATCTATAATTTTGTTGCATAAAGTAAGGAAGAAAGAATTTTTACACAAACAATTTAGTTTTTCAAAATGCTAAAAAAAATTAATATTATTAATATTGTTACATAGTTTTATTACTTGAGAATCAAAACTTAATAAATCATTCAAAAATTCTTTTTCAATTTATGCAAATAAAATTACAGGTGGGCTGTGTCACTGTTTTTTTACGAACTGAAATTTTATAAAATTCCACAAAAGAGAATAATCACCTACAAACGCTTTTCATGACAGTCTACACAGCAATACTTGTCTTTTAATCTATTAACATTGAAAACATTTTTCCAAATTGATATTTTATTTTTAATTATGTACAGCACTTAGATCTTCAATTTGTGTATAATTTTTTAACATGTTATCAATCTTTAAAATTCAATATTGCAATAAATTTTTGTCATATGAGAGTCACACTTTGAAAAGTAAGAGAAAAGAAAATAAGCGTTTATTTTTCCTCTTACTTTTCGAAAGAAACTAAGAGATTAACACTGATACATGAGGTATTTCTGTCTGAACTCAAAGCTGTTGGAACCATTCAAATGAAATCTGTGGAGAAAGAAGTGATTGTGCCCCCTTAAATAATTATTTAAGATACTAACTACCATCATTCATCAGCTTTACTGTTTGGCTGTTGGTGAGTTTTGAGATAAAGAGAGTCACTGAATATAAGCAAATTACTCTACTCTCTTTACCATGTAAATGACAATGTCTTAAACACGTTTTGTTACAGTGTTTATTTTCAACAAGCTTTATTTTTTAAACGGAATAACAATTTTGACAAAATGTAACTATAAACTGGAGGCCACACAAAAAGATTCTGTAATTTTTTTATAATATTTATTTCTAAATTACAATGTTTATTTTTGACTTATTTACATTGTACATGTTTTTTCCCCTGGAATAAAATTTAAGAACTGAGTTTAACTTTGAGATTGTGGTAAGCAGAACTTTGCAAATGAATTAATAAAATCATTTGAAACTTTTTTAAGTTAAATGTGTTTAAATGTAGTATATACTACCTTCAAATAAATTCTCATATGTGTAACAAGATCTTAACATGGTCAACGACTCCTAATTACTTATATACTTATATATAATGCTATTATATTTCACACACAAATTATTTAGAAAAATTTTGCATTAGAAGAAAATTAGAGTATGCAATATTATTTACTTTTTCACTATTGATTTATTTTTCTTGGGTACAAAAATAATTCTTTGATCTTTCCTGAAATGAGGACTAATTGCTATTAAATAAACTCATATTTTCTAAACAATACAACTACTCACTACAAATTTCTCAAAAAATATTTAATACATGAACATTTCACAATTTATTACCAGAAAGATAAGTACAGCAAAAGTATTTACTTTTCTGATTAACTGAATTAAGAGAAGAATTAAAGCACATTTGCTAAATACTTACTTTGGTTGGCAGTGATAACTAATAATTGCTTTTCCATCTGTACATCAGACTCTTGATTTATGGCAGTGTTCTATAAAATAAATTCACAATGATTAGCTTTTACAATTCTATTTCTATTAGTCACCAAATGATAAATTTACACCCAAACACACATGCATAAAAAATGTGAAAAAAATAAAATCTGAAGGAAGGTTCAAATTTTAATGTTGCCTAAAAGAACTCTCCCGAGTTTTATATGCTTTTACTAAACTACAGTTGATTAGCCTGTTCTTGTACTTACTCCTCTTGGCTTTTTTTTTCCTATTCCTTTACTAAAACGGGAAATAAAAATTTTTCATTGGTTGATTCACAGATTGCAAAAATTCCGACTATGAGATTCTAAAAATTACTTCATTTTCCTTTTTCGGTAGACTGTGGTTACATCTGTTTATTTTAAAAGTTACATGGACATCACGAGTGATTTGATGAAAAAGGTCAGGATGTTAAAGTTACATGGACATCACAAGTGATTTGATGAAAAAGGTCAGGTTTAAGACTAATAGTTATTTCAGGCTTAAAAAGGGGGGATGAGAGAGAGCTAATCGAATGAAATTAATGTATCTTTTCCTCCCATCCAAGCTGGGATAACAGTTAGCAATTCCAAATGTTACATACCACTAATTGATTTACATTCATTTATGATTCATACCACTTATATCAATTTAACAAATAATATATCTAATCTGCAATGAATTTCCATTTAATATTTTAGAATTATTGCATTTTAATGCTTTCAAGTCAAATGGTAAAAATAAAAGATTTGAAGGACAAAGGATTTATACAATTATTACAACTGCTACCTTAGTAAAAATATTTTGGTCCTGAAGAAGCTGCCATAAATTAAAGCAGTTGTCTAATTCAAACAGACACATGCCAATAGTAAATTTTAAATGACAAAAAAAGCAACCTAAAATTGACAGTTGGATCTGTAGTACGGACCTATGTAGTCACGTGGAGCAGAGCATGCCAAAATCTTACACGTTTTGAATAAAACTTGACTGATATTATGATCTATTAACAATGGCTTTTTCTTTAATTTTAATAACATTAAAATTTTAAAATAAAAAATAATACACACCTTTCAGTTTATTAGACTCACTAATCTCTACACATTACCTATATTTCATAAGAAACAATTAAATTTTGTTTTATTGCTAATGGGACTATTAACCATGAAAAGCCATTGACATTGCCTTTGCTGCCTTAGCTTGGAAAATATTATTCAACTAGAAAACTGGATCATTTTCTATACTGCACACTATTTAACAGCTTTATCCAAAATTAAATCTTCTAACAAATGTTTGGTACCCCCATGGCAAAAAACGATTACATCCCCGTCTGTAATTATAAATTATTTATTAAATAATTTACTTTTATGAAATACAGCAAAGGCTCAAAGAATATTTTTTATTTTATTTGTAAATACATAGATGATATTACTGTAAAAAAGGTAAAATTTACACATTTTGATTTTTTGACCTTAGAATTAATGAAGGCCTTCCCCGAAAAAGCAGTTATTTGACAAAAGAAGGTTATTTAATTTTAAAACAATTAATAACAGGAATTAGACCATCTCAAAAAACAATGTTGCCAACAAAATTATTAGCCAAATCAACAGAAGTAAAAGTAATTGCATCCTAGTTAATAATATTAATTACAATATTAAATTATTAATAACCGCACTTAAAAGAAAATGAAATTCCTAACAAATATATTATCAAACTATTCCATAAAATTGCCATTAAATAGACCCTTTTTTTAATGTTACAAATGAAGGGAATTTAAACATGTAGTCAAGAAGGTCAATACCAGAAGTGTAGCATTTGTATAAACAGTAAATTCCCCTTTCCACAAACTCATTTAAGGTGAAAACTTGGTTAACACGAACAAAATTTTGCCCCCAATGCACATGATCTTACAAAAAGTTTTATCAGTTAAATGCAAATTTTGGTTAGCACAGATTATGACCAGTTTTTAAATCTATTGCATCATTAGATTTTATCATTTAACACAAACTTTAAAATTTTTTCATATTCTCCCTCCCCCTCTTCTTTGTGTTCAGAAATGTTTTATCCTGTTCAATTGAAAATATGACAGAATACACTGTACTCTTTAAATAATAGCCAGCATGTCATGCTGCAGGGTTGCGACTCAAACAGGAGAATGAATTCAAGGTTTTCCAGGTGTGTTTTAAGAAAATTCCAGTCTATCCATGTAGTGCTTGTTGGCTGTGCTGAGAGGTAAATTAATTATAGTACCATTTGAAAACAGACAAATTTTCCTGTATATATATATATATATATATATATATATACCCAAACCATTACTATTATAATATAAGTTGTTTTCTCCATTGAAAATTGAAATTAGAATCTGCCCAATCTGGATTAAATAATGACTTTTTTTCAGACATTTTGCAGCTAAACGAATGAAAGAAATCTATTTAATGATATTTTAAAATAAATTCCAGTATTTTATATTTATTTAGCAGCATACATAAGCAAAAAATATTTATTTGCATATATTTGAAAATAAAGGCCATGTAGCCTAGATGACTAATTACTTTTTTTTTTTTTTTTTATTTTACTGGAAAATGACAAATAAGGCATTTATTAAAAAGAAAAAAAAATTAAAAAGATTTTGTGGTAAAATCCTAGTACACGATACAGCACTGACACGATTTTGAAAATTCTCACCAACACCAAAATGACCCATTTATTGCTCATCATAATGCTGCCAAATCCTGTGTGCGCTGTACACTAGTATTTAACCAATTTTGTTTTACACGAGAATGGAAAGTATTTTCTATCATTCAACATGAAGGCACATGAGCGTCTTTTGATTCTCGATGTTACTGGAAGATTGTTTTGCCTTTCTACAAGACAATCCGATTGGAGCTGCGAAAATTGACTCTATGCCAGCTGCCCGAATGACGCTAACGCGATACAAAATTCACTTCCAGCGTTCGCATAAAAATAATTTATTTTTAGGATTGGCATATGAAATTCTGTTACTTTTCCAGATTTTGACTAAAATATTTAAACTCCTTGACTTTTTGGCCAATTCTCTAAATCCCTGATTTTTCCAGGTAGTAAGGCAATACTGACATGAGTAAAAATGCTTGACAATTCCAGTTAAAATTAAAATGAATTATATTCAGAATAAATTTTTACATATATTTATAAGACTGTAGTTTAGTTATACAGTCAAAAGTCTTTAATCCGGACTCGTCGGGACTTCGGCGATTCCGGATTATCGATTTTTCCGGATTATAAATCATCAGTTTAAATCTGGTAAGATGGCATGCAGAAATTATAAAATTAAAAATATTGACCGTAATTTATAAAATAATGAGCAATTATGATCTAAAGGGTATCAAAATTTACAAAAAAAGAAGCTTAATATTTATTTGTTTACTTTATTAAACATTTCTTTCAACGGGCGCATGCGTAAAGCATACCTTACGCATAGCCAAAATTAGAAAAATTGCAACCAGAAAACAATTTGATTTGTATTCGTGATATTTATAATGACGAGGAATTTGATTTAAATCATATCAAAGACGAAGTACAACAAGATTAAATACTACATTTAGTAAGGAATTATAAGCAAAATAAAATAAAAACATCTGCCCTGAAGATAACGATAGTGCTGACAGATCAACTTCCAGTTCATTGTGCATCGCGACACCCCCCCCTCCACGCAGAGCAGCGTGAAATTGATAAACAGATTTCAGAACGGTTAGATAAACAAAGGATATACCTTTATCCATTTTTTGTAGCAATTCGTTTTTTGTTTGATGGACATCGAAACATACTTTCATTTTCTAGATCCTTTGGGAGCTTCAGCATCGGAAATTCTATTTGACATAATCGAAAGTTCAAGCTTACTTTTATAAAATTGCTCTTACAGTATGCAAAAAATAATAAGCCGGATCCAATTTGAAGATTAAGGAACAACCCAATCATCAACATTAACTAAAATAGATAATTAGATAATTTTAGCTTATACTGTCCGTTACACATTAAACGCGCATGCGAAAACGTATTCTGCGCTTGCGCAGACGCATATGCGCAGTCGTAAATGTCTAGCGCGCACGCATAAAACGCCTATGAGCATGCATCAACGGGGCGCATGTGCAGAAAGATTTTAGCTTTGAGGTCCGGATTATGGGTGTCCGAATTAACGACTTTTGACTATATATTAATTTTCAGCATGCACCAACATGTCTATTCTTAAGAATACATGCAAGCATCTGCAATCTGGAAACAAAACTAAAAATCTCAGAGGAAGTAGATTGCGGTGTATAGAAGAAAAGTGCAATTGTAAAAAACCACGGTATTGCCAAATCTGCCTTATCCTCAATACTTCAAGATCATGAAAAAAATTTTAATGCTGTTGCATCTAGTTCCAGGAACAAATCTAAGCGACTTTGTAGTGCCCACTAAGAAGTTGTTGAAACTTTACTCTTAGAATAGTTCAATCACATATGGGTGCTTTCACCGTACCTTTAAGCCGACCTATTATTTGGTCAAAAGCAAATAAAATTGCAAAATACTTAGGCATTCAAGATCTTGGTTGTTCTGCTAGTTGGTGGTCCTGCTTTAAAAAGAGACACTCGATTTCAAGATTAGTGATTTGTGGTGAAGGAATGTTGATGAAGAAGGAACAAACAACCGGTTGCATGAATTTGACTAAATGAAAGCACAGTATCCCTCTGACATCTACAATATGGATGAATGTAGACTTTTTACAAATTTTTTCCAAAGTCATGAACTCAGAATATAAGGTGACAAGTGCCATGTTGGAGCACATAGTAAACAATGTTTAACTGTTGCCCTTGTGTTTAATGCAGATGTCAGTGATAAATGTCATCCTTGGGTAACTGGTAAGTCTAAGAAACTACATTGTCTTAAGAATATAAATAGTGCTTTATCTTGCTCTTACCATAAGAAAACTTGTATCAACAGCTCATTATTTCATAATTGGCTTCTTTGTTTTAATAGTCGAATGATGGCTCAGAATAGGCATCTTCTTATGACACTGGGCAAGTTTGCTGCCCTTAACATGATCTGAAAGAAACCAATGTAAAGGTTTACCCCCCAAATATAACAAGGGTCTTCAGCTTTAGGATCAAGCTATTACTGCAGTTACGAGTCTCATGTGATAGCTGCAATTTGCACTGCTGTAAAGGAGACAGAAATGCCAACTTGATATGTTGTATTGCTTGCTTGATGCAATAAAAGCTATTGCCACACCTTGGAAATTTGTGTCATTACAGCACATGCAAAATTGTCTTAGGAGAGCCTGGATATATAAAGATGCTAATTTTGTTGACAAGTTAAATAGTGACAATGACACCATTTCACCTAATGAATGGAATAATCTAAAAGATGTTGCAAAAACCCTGTATTAGTTTTGAAGAGTTTTTTTGGTGCAGATGTTGCCATGTGCACTCCAATGGAATCTCAGATACAAGCAGTTGTGTTTGAAGTGTAAGAAATGCCATCAGAAGAAAGTGCAGAGGACAATATCATTGTGCTAACTCGCCAGGAAATGTTACATGCCTTGAAAACTGTAGAACATTTTCCTGCAACATCCGAATTGAGCACTAGTTTTACAGAAGCCAGAAGTACAGTTGGCCATTAAATTACAAGGTATTTTCCTTCCCGTCTAAAACAGCGCATTATACATAAAATTTTCAAGTTACAATACAGCAATTAATGTTGTTCTGTAGTGTTTTCAATAACAGCATACAATATATACTGTAGTACTAATGCCACTACACTCGTATGCAAAATTAAGAGGAATTACACATTATGTTGAACTTCTGAAAAACTAATGGACAGATTTTAATGCAATTTGGTATGAATAAATTAACAGAGATAGAAGTATACCATTTAAATGCTATTTTATGTGTACATGACTATTAATAAAACTCACAGTGCACAGACATCCAAAATCCACATTGTGACATCAAACTGAAAATGAGTCTAATATGGGATATGGTACCGTCTCACATTCAGAGAGGTCACACTGCACGATGGCATACCAGACAGGAAGCAGTTGAGCAGTCCCTGAGGCAGTCAATTCCCCGCCTGTGGCAAGGCAGTTTTCAACTCCAGGGTGGTTCTTGGAGGCGGAAGGTGAAATTAAATTATCCTCCCAAAAGGGTTTCAGACATGCTCTATACAGTTATGATTCGGGAGATCTGGGTGATACGATGCCATACCAGACAGGAAGCAGCTGAGCAGTCTCTAAGGCAGTCAATTCCACTCCCTGTGGCAAGGCAGTTTTCAACTCCAGGGTGGTTCTTGGAGGAGGAAGGTGAAATTAAATTACCCTCCTAAAAGGGTTTCAGACATGCTCTATACAGTTATGATTCAGGAGATCTGGGTGATATCCTTACTTTCCAGATAATCGTTGACTAGCTGAACCTTTGTGAACGAGTGTTGTCATCCATTAAAAGGAACCCAGGACTAACTGCACCCTTGAAAAGCTGAAAGGATTAAAAAAAAATAAAAGGCGAAAAATCTCCTGAAAAGCCGAAAGATTTCCTGTCTGCACCAGAGAGGTGAAACATGACCATCTACTCAATAACGCATTGTGCGACCTCTGGCCAGCAAAACAACTGCAACTCGCCTTAGCATGGATGCCACAATTTCTTTATAGATGACTGGAGACAGGTTGTACCATATATCTAAGCACTGGTCATGCGAATGTCGAGATATTCCAACATGTTTAAGTTCTCAGCTGCCACTCCATGACATCTCAAATATGCTCTATCAGTTTAAAATCTGACGAGTTAGGTGGCCAGGACATTAATTAGAATTCATCCGTATGCTCCTCGAACCAATCTAACACAATTCGAGCTTGTGATATGGGACACTGTCCTGCTGGAAAATTCCATTTCTAGTTGGGAAGACAGATGCCATGTAAGGGTGAAAGTGATCTGCTGTTGTATTCAGATACACCACAGCTTTCATGGTCTGTTCTACCACAATTAAGGGTCCCAGAGCCACCCATGAGAAAGTCCCTCAAAGCATAATACTGCCACCATCAGCCAGTATATGACCTGCTGTACAGGAAGGGGAGCAAATGTTCATCTGGAAGATGGCATACTTTGACATGACCATTGACTTGATGAATAAGAAATCATGATTCATCTGACCAGGCAATTGTCTTCCACTTATCCATGGTCCAGTCTTGATATTCCCAGGCTCACTGTAGGCCTAGTTGACAATGACACTTGGTCAATAGAGGCACACAATTGGGATGTCTGTTGTGCAGTCCCATATCCAACAGTGCCTGCTGAACCGTGTGTTCCAAAACACTTGCACTTGGACTGTCAGCTGAGCCACTTTTTAGCACCGATTTTACTGTACCAAGCGAGAAAATTTTTGACATCCCTTTTCTTTGATGACATGTGCACTTTTAACACTTTGACATCTACTGCTGCTTTCACAGTCATTTATCCACTTTGCATAAATACTAACAAGGCAGATCGTGAGCAACCTAGAAGACATGCAGTATCAGAGATGCTTGCTCCGAGTCTTCGGGCCATCACAATCTGCCCTCTATCAAATTTGCTTAATTCAGCAGCCTTTCCCATCACTTGTAAAAGTAAGAGTAAAAATGATTCCTTACCTCCTCCAAGCAACAGTTAAATATTATTACTACTTAATCATGAGACCTCCATCACCCAGATGAATTCGTTGAAAAATGTGGGGATGGTCATAATATTTTGGCTCATAGCAGGCATGAAACTCATGCAGGGATGTGCAGCCATATGATGCTTGCCTAAACCATTATACCTCCACCATCATAATGATTCTTTTCCCTGATAAGAGAGGAGTGGTATAATGTTCTGGACTCTCTCCAGATACAGGTATGCCGAGAATCAGTGTCCAGGCTGAATCTTGACTCGTATATAAATAGCACGGTGCTTCACTGAAGTCTGGTTCAAGTTGCATGTTGTCCGCACCATGCAAAATGCACTTTCGTGCACTGCAGCAAGTGAGACACAAACATCAAATCTTCTGGCATACAGCCCTATCTCATAAAAGACTTCAGGCAACTGTAGACTGTGAAACTCAGGTTCCAGTGGCAACATACAGCTCATATGAGAGCTGAGAAGCTGTTGGAGTTCTGTGTCACCATGCTGAAAGTACCAAATAATGATCCGCATTCATTACTGTGGATCTTGATCGATCTTACACAGATCTTCTTGATATGGAACCAGTGTCCTGAAACTGGTTCCACAAACTGCACACATAACTAAGTGTTACACTGAACCCTGTAGTCACCTCTGCTTGTAACTAGCCTGCCTCCAATCTACTGACAATTCACGATAACATTCCATCATTTATACATTTGTCGCTACTCATTTTACCTTATAAGACACACCCAATTTTTGTGAGAAACACACTAAATGTTATGAAGGAGTACGAGCAAACAAATTGCCCAGAACTCCTCCTGCAATTATTCCCTCCACAATCCCAGCTCTGCAGACATGCAGGGGTATGCTTACTTATTCAACTCTGAATATTTGCATGCTAAGTACCTTTGGTTTAATACTTTTTGTAAAAATAGACAGAATTTGCTAATTCTTTTAATTCGGCACAGGAGAGTATATACTGTATTTGAGTCACCAGTTAAAATGATTTTTTTGACAGAAACTCTTTTGATTTTTCGATCCTTTGAGTTTCATGTTAATGAGGGTTTTACTATATGTATATAACAACCCTGCTTCATCTTCCACTATAAATATAGGCCAATTTCCAAGTCTTAATCCTGGCCTATTATGAGAGTTCTTTTGGCTCTTTATTAAATTTATTTTCTCTTCCCTTACATTTGCATTACATTACCATCAACTTGTTACACATAAATTTTAATTAAAAAAAAGTTTAATTATTTAGTCTTCCATTTTAATTGTTTTTTTACTGAATTAGTCCTAAATCTTTAATTTATTTGCAACTCACTTTGTTTTGATCACTACACCCTTATAACACATTTATTGACATTAATTCCATCCACCAAGTCACTTAAGCAAACAATCTTAGATAATGTAGGCTTTTAACATTCAGTTTATGAATAATAAGATGACTATTTTTATAAATTTAGATAAGAAATTTCTTCTTTTATTCATTTGGCCTTTCTACTATGAGCTGAATGCTTTATATATGCTCAGCTATCCAAAGATTTTCATGAAACGACATTCGACATTCATTTACCCAGCTTTCCAGATATTTTGTATTATCACATCAAACACATTTAACATACACAGCTGATAAGCTTGCAATGGAGAATTTTACACCCCAATGAGGAGGCATAAAAAAGGAAATAATAAAAACCTAGTTACATACCTGTGTGAAAGACGAACACATAAAAAAGGAAATAATAAAAACCTAGTTACATACCTGTGTGAAAGACGAACAATGTACAACATTGCTCAGCGGGCTATGGTGAAATACACTTTTTGAGCAATTATTGTCCTTGGAAATATCACAGGAAACATGACACTTAGATGGTGAGGTAGGATGTGAGACAGTTTCACTCAAAGTATTCTCACTAACACAAACATATGAATCTGATAAACCTTCATGAGTCATTAAATCATCTTTATCAATCAAAAGACCTAATTCATTAGTCATTGGTACTGGTTTTGGCGATACAACTGTTGCTGAAGAATCAGTGCCAGACATTTCTTTTCTTTCTTCAACATTTTTAGCAATAATAAACTCCATATTATTACTCATGGAAGGTTCATCACTGGGCTTTCTTTCTTCTTGAGTAGGTTGGAGAGGATCGGATGTTTTAATGAATTTGGAATTGGAGTGAATTTTCAATTTTTTTGACCGAGACTCCCCTCCACAGCTCTTTATTTTTCGACGTATCAATTTACGACGACAACCTCCAAACCATGGTGACTTCTTTCTTCTCCAGATCATATACCTTGAAGCTCGCTCTGAAAGAGAAAATTAAATAAACAAACAACTATAAAAACAAACTTTTTTTTTTTTTTTAACAACAAGAATACAGAAGGATAACAATGAAAGGGAAAGAGAAAAGTATTTTATAAAGGCAAAAATATCCGGCTGTAACAAGTTTTCTGCCAAAAAAGGTTCTTAAAAAGTTGGGGGGGGGGAAACACATGAAAGCAGTACCTTTAGTGCAGGTAGTAATCACCACCTAAATCTAAGATTTTCTGCCACGTTTTGGCAGATTTTCAAAGCCTTCAGCCCAGAAACTTCAACCTCATTTCAGATGTATTGTGCAGAATGGAAGATAGTACCAGCAAGATGTAGCTGCAGGTGTGAAAAAGGTAGAAGTCTGAAGGAGCAGTTTCATAATTATATGATGGGTGTGGCAAAAGATCCTATTCGAGTCTGTACAGAGTCCAGCTGGTGAATGCGAACACATGTGGTCGTGCATTATCTTGATGGAAAATTACCTCTTTTCACTGAAACTCAGTTCAATGTTTTTTCTTGACAGCAGCATCAACACGGACTAGCATCTCACTGTATACCTTACTGTTGAGGGTTTTACCATTTTCCAGATACTCTTTGTGGATAATACCATGGCAGTCCCATCAGATACAAAACATAATCTTTTTGTTAGTCAAATTGCACTTTGCTATACTGCCAACGGGCTCACCGAGCACACAGCAATTCTCTTTCAGCCTGTGTTGTTGAAGTAAATCCATTTTTCATTACAAGTAACAATCTGGTCCAGAATTTTGTCTTTCCGCTGATATTCGAGTAGATTAGTGCAGGCCCGAACACATCTGTCCTTATTTGGCCAAGTCAGCTCATGCAATACACAGTGACTGAACTTGTACATCAAGTTTATGTGATGCGTAGCACAACTAATGGACATGGCCCTAACGTCTCGAGGGGTTGCATACTGATCTTCTTCCGCAAGTTCCCGCCAACAGACATCATCAACATCAGTAGGCCGGCCAGAGCGCTCTGCTTCTTGAATGTCATAGTCTTTGTTTTTGAACTTTCGGTACCAAATCTTCATAGTCACATGATACAATGTTAGTACCTACAGCTGTACACATTTTTTTGGTGACATTCTGCAGCTGACTTTTTGCAGCAGAACTGAAAGTAAATGATGGTTCTAATCTGGTAGCATGATAGCCCAATTTCAGACACTTTGTTCTTAATGATAATGGTATTTCACACAAATTTCACAACACAGTGTTCTAAAGCAAGTCTCTTTCAAATGCCAAAAATTGTTTGACAAAATACAATTAAACACGTCAATGCCAACTATTTGCACAGACAATATTTGTGGTGGAGGGAAACTCTCATTAGAACCTGATATATTCTATTTTACTGCTTTGTAACTAAAAGAACCAGTCTATGAAAATCAAACATCAGTGTTTTTGCATTTGTAATGTGCATATATTACATGGATACAAAATATGACAAAAATATGGTATCAAAAATGTACGTATAAATGTGAAAAAATATGTAGGATTCATGAAAAATGAATTTTTACCAAAATTATTCCTAACATGCATAGTAAAAAAATATGGGAAATGTATGTAAATTTCTATGTAATATATACGTTTGTGAAAAATAAAAAAAACTCTGCAGATTAACGTACATTTTTACTAAAAATATATGAAAAAATTAGAATATTTATATATCTGCGGTAAATACACGCAAATTTTCACTAAAAACATATGGATATCCTTGAAATATTATACGTAAAAACTACGAATAAAGCATGATCATTTGGATGAATATAACTATTTTTTACCAATAACTTATGGATATCTGTACATATAATGTTTGTGCAGACGATATTTACAGTGGTGGGAAACTTTCCTTAAAACCTGATAAATTTATTAAAAGGTTCTTTTACATATATTAATAAAATCACATAAATTTATAAAAATCACAAATGAAGTATTTATGATACTGAAGTTAGATTCTATCATATAAAAACAATTCATTTACCACATGACAAATATTAGACAATATTAATATATTCAATCCTAGATCATACAAATATAAATGACAATTCTATTCATCTAAATAGGCAGAATTTTAAAAGTGTAATTTGTGTATAGTAATGCGTGTAATATTTAAAAACAACTATTCACAAATTTTGTTATTAAAAACAACTATACACAATAGTTCTTATAAAATACACACTTAAAAAACAATAACAATTATACACAAACAACTACACAGACACTGATACTTTAAGGAAGTTAATTAAAATAAATCTAAAACTACATTTGATTTTTGTTGTACTTTCCAGAACACTTTAAAGCATTTTATAGTAGCTTGGCAAAATGCTTCAATTCCTGGCCCCCCCTCGTCAAGGCTATCTTTCTACAGCCTCCATATCTTCTTTGCAACAAAAACTATATTTTATATGTTAGAATATATTTTTTTTTCAAGTCTTTTCTGACAATGAAATGGGTCCTTTTTACTTTACATTATTTTACTTTTTACTACTTACATAGTAGTAGCAATAACGTAAAGTACAGAAGACATACAATTCTGTAGTCGTACAGTGCGTAAATCTTGCAAATTGACTTGGTTTGAATTAATATAATAACATTTGTTTATAATTTTCAATAATGACATTTTTATAGGGGCATTTTACCTATTTAATTTATACAATACGTTTTGCAACAAGATTAAATTAAATGCTAAAAATTTCAGCTTTGTGATCTAGTAGGAGATACATACTTGTGCTAAATGATAGAATATGACTCCCCCCAAAAATATTCACTTTGTAATGACTAATTTATTTATTTACATTGAGATGTAAAAGATTATTTATATAACATGCTCAAATACTACATTCCAAGATACTTCTGAAGAAACACATATTTAATAGCAGAAACTGCCCACAATATGAATAATTAACCTCCTGAGTGGCATTACTGTCTTTAAATGGTCATGAGATTTTTTGTTATTTGATGTATATTACATATATTTAATTTGGTTTGTTCTCATAGTTTCTTTAATAACCTAAATATTATCTTAATGAATGAAAGTTTATGATAAAAGAGACAAAAATAATGATTTATACAAATTTTTATAACTGTTATTAAAATACAGTCCTTAACCAGATTCAAAAAGCCATGCCACTCAGAGGATTGATAATGTATTAATGTCCCCATAGGTATATGTCAGGAAATTTTTAATATTAGCATAATTATACATATCGTCACTTAAAATTTGAGAATTATAAAGAAGAGAAATTTTAGAGTACAATTGCAATAAAAAGGCAAATGCCTTGTATGCATGTCTTTCTTTTCTTTTTTAAAAATACAATAAAAGTTATTGTCATCTTCTGAAAAGAAAAATAAATGCATGCTTTATTCATTATTATGCAAATGAGATTATGCATCATCAACTGAGAGAATTACTATGATCTACTTTTCAAACAAAATCAGACAAACAAAATTCCAGCTTTGCAAGACACAAAATACTCACTTGGCGATGGAAAAATTTTTGCACCCTGACTATCAGCTGACAGCGATGAAGCTCCCATACCTCTGATGCGTTTACTGAACCTAGTAGGAGAAGGAAGGGACCCACTATTTTCTTTTCTATCACATGGTTTTTCTTTAGGTTCAGCAGGAGCATCATTTCTCTTTTTAAGATTGTGAGCTGTTACTGTTGAAGTAGTAGAAGCAGCAGGTGCATTCTTAGATAAAGCATTATACCTCTTAGGGGCAAATTTAGTTGGGCTTTCACCTTGAAAAAAAAAAAAAAAAAAAAAAAAACAACACATGAAAAAATACATATTATTACAAATCACACTGACAAAAAAAGAAAGAAAAAAAAAAGCATATAAAGAGATATTCTGTATATGGAATTTTAATATATTCTTAACAAAAGTTGATAAAGCAATAGAAAAAGCATTAAAATTTATTCTATGTTAAGCCACCACAAGTACAAAACAAATAAGTGGTTACAATCAGTTGCATGCTGTGGATTTTACAGAAGAGAACCAGATATGAAACAAAATTATAATCCTAAGATACTACCACCCATGGCTAGTGTTGTATTGAAGAGTTGAAATTCAGTAATAGCATTTATTTATTGATATTTTCAGAAATACTGATCTTTCAGAAGAGGTTATCATAACAGGATTTAAAATATGGAGACTGATGAATACAATAATGCATCTGACAAAATTTTAAGAGAGGAAACCAAAATGATTGTGCTACAAATAAATACAAAATTTTTTAGTCTCATGACAGTTATGAAACTTAAATAATTAAAATTATTTTAGGGCGAAAAGAAACCAAACAGGTTACTTCTTAGTTTGCATACAGTTAATCATTGTGAAATAGTATTTAATACTTCACTTAGGAATGACTAGATAATGTTTCATGTTTGTACAAATAAGAACAATTTAAAATAAATCTACCTTTTGCAATTAATTTTTATTTCTTTCGAAAATATATTATCCTAAAAAATATTGTAGGCAAGCAATGGAGATCAAATGGGTTCTAATACTGATACCTGATGAAAGAGTGCATTATCATAAAAGGTTTCAAAGTTTGTTTGCACATGTTCTGTAATGATTCCTTGCACAGGGACTAGTGCTTCATATTGCTTATCTCTCACTAATTTAAATATGGAATTACTGCTTTAATACAATTTACACTGAACTCTTTTCCATGTCACAAGAATGCTTTTATGAAGACAAACTGAAACATGGCATGAAAAGTTAAATTAAGCTGGCTTTTAAGAACCATGAGAAAATTAAAGTTTCCTATCACCGGTAGTTAACAGCATGTTGGCAGCTAATCCTTCCTGGCATATAGCCAATGCAATTTGAGCTCCTCCCATTCTCACGGAAACTGACAACATTTGAATGGCTTACAGTTTCAAAAGATGAGAAATGATGTTCCTTTTAATACTTTAAAGATACTGATTGATGGATAAAAATTGTTTTATAAAAATATTGATTGTTGGATAAAAATATACTTGAAAATGTTAATGTCTAAAATCTTAGGGGACTAGCCCAATCCTTCCAGTCTATGGATGGCACTTGCATTTAGATTGCCAAGTGACACAAGGAAAAGTATTCTAGGGCAAAAATAATTCGATGGAACCAAAATAAAATAATTGGTATCCTGAAATGACTTCAATGGGTAATTCCTAAAACTCACAACACTATCTTCTGGGATAATTATTCATATATGTAGGATTCAAATATACACAAATTACATTTTTAAAATTCTGCCTCTTTAGATGAATAGAATTGTCATTTATATTTGTATGACCTAGGATTGAATATATTAATATTGTACAATATTAATACATACAAATGTAATTGACAATTCTATTCATCTATACACAAATTACATTTTTAAAATTCTGCCTATTTAGATGAACAGAATTGTCATTTACATTTGTATGTATTAATATTGTAAAATATTAATATATTCAATCCTAGATCATACAAATATAAATGACAATTCTATTCATCTAAATAGGCAGAATTTTAAAAATGTAATTTGTGTATAATAATGCATATATGTAGGATTCAAATTAAAATGTAACATAGAAAAAATATAATTATAATATAAATATTAACATATAATATAGAAAATAAACACTTAAAAAACTAAAGCATATTTCTATATATTTTAATCAAGTTTCTCTTCCTTCCACATAAACTACTTCTTTTAAAGAAACAATTTTTTTCACTATCTCCCCCCCCAACAAAAGGCACTAGATTTTTCACTATCATAAAAATTACCTCTTTCTTTACGAGCAGCTTGTATATCTTGACAAATTTTTTCAAACTCATCATCCAATTCAGTTAGAACCAGTGCATGAGCCATATCCTTTAAAGCACAAGCTCGATGCCTTATTAATTTATCTAGAAACAAAAATTAAATCTGGTAAGCAATTAAGAAAAAGACATTACCATACATATAAAAAAATATCAAATTTGTATGATAATAACTATAAGATTTTGAAAAACTCATTTTTCTGAACTGATAAAAGCCTACTTATTATAATTACAAATGTACAATCACATTTATATTAACTTAAATAGTACATCATTAAAACTTGATAAATGATCAAGAAATATCAAACTTTCAAACAGCCTCGGAAATAAGAAATAATATTTTTTAGACTTACTGAACATATAAAAGTTCTATTAAAATAAAGAATTGTAAAAGAACATGGATCTGTTAACTTACCAGAGGGATCCCTGTCTGGATTGTATTCAAGAGCATTATGGCAAACAAGATCAATGTCGCTTAAGAACTGAGAAACCGTCTCATAGCGATGAAGATCAATCTTGGACATCATTGTTTCTAAATCCATTGGATTTTTTATGACCTCTTGATAATCAGGGACCTTTCAGAAATAGAAAAAGACAAATTACAGTTTTTTTTTTAAGAGCAAAATAATCATCAAATAATAAATGAAAAATATCATAGCTATTCACAAAAGTAGGACATATCAGTATCATGAAAAAGGAATTCCTGATGAAGCTTTTTAATTATTTTTTAATTCCATTACATCTGAAATCTCAGTTAAAAACACACACCCTATTTTCAAATACATAATAAGCTCTCATGATGATGTGGCACATTCACATGCTCACATCACCTTGGCCACACATGGCATTTCAGCCATATTGGCAAATGTTTCTGCACACAATTTTACATAAATATATGTTTACAATTGAAGGAAAAGTTCACCTATTACCATATCTGTCTATATATTTATTAATTTTAACAAGGATTACAGGAATTCAATGTAATTTCCTTTTTCAGTTAAGATATATAAACCCAAAGAGATTTTTTTTCAATCATATAAAAATAAGATGACGAGTTTAAAATGAGCAAGTACTATGCCTCTCCCCTATAAATTAAAAAAAAAAGTACATTGCAATGTTATGCGGATGACAAAAAATTAATTTTATTTTAAACATTTTTATATTTGGAATATAAAATAAATGTAGCAAATACACTATAAAGGGCATCAAAATAAGTATACAAATTTTCACACTTATAATCAGTTAGTTATAAGGAAATTTAGCTTTAAAGTGTGTTACATTTCTGCGATATTTTGAGATTTTAATGGAAAGGTATTTATCATTCTTTCAGGTATATTGATAACATTTTGCTAAAACCTACATTTTTGTAGTCCAGTAGCTTTGAATTTTATAAAACAAATTCATAATCAAAGTTGATGTTGCAAGTTATCGAAAGACAACCATGATGTGATCTGTGTGGAAATGCCAATCAGTATCTTAACCGGTGACTTATCTTAACGCGGTGCAAAAGCATTGCGTTCATTTGTCTCGAAAACCACGACGCAGTTAGTTATTTTAGAATGCACTTGTGTTACAAGGTATGCGTGAGGTCAGACTACGTACGTTCACACCCACGGAGGAACAAAGACACACTGAAACTCGCAGCGCAGTTTTCGAGACACATGAACACAGCACTTTTGCATCGCACAGCAGTCAAACGGTTAATAAAGGAAAGCTAATAAAACTGCTAGTTATCCATTCAGCAATGAATCTTATCTAATCTTAATAAAGGAAAACTATACAAACTGCTAATTATCCATTCAGCAATGAATGTTTCTTTTATGTGAAAGCATCTCTGCTTTTCAAATTGTGTGAAACTGTCATAAGTGGAAGTTTAGTCTTCTAACGAACTTGATGTCTTCTGTGATGTCAAACTGTACTTCCAAAATTTCTTATGCTATCAAATGAAAATTGATTGACTTTAACTGACACATTCTTGAACATACTCGCACTGAATGTACTGAACACACATGTGCACAGTACACTGAAGTTGATGAGCAACTGTTAGTTTCTTTGCTGAAGTACAAAAATTGAGTTAAGAGACATAAACTGGATTTTCAGAAGAGACATACTTTTAATTATCTTTTGAATGGCTGTGGATACAGCTTTTAGTAGAAAGCCTTCCAATATTAGATATTTTTGACAAAGGAAATAAAGATGTCCATTACCCATTTTTTAAATATGAATGAGTGATTGAGTGACTAAAGCTTTTTAGTTTAAAAACATTTGAAAGCTTTGATAAAAAAGCATTTGCCATAAAAGCATTTGAAAGCTTTGATTTAATAATATTTGTTTCTTAAAAGTTTATACTTCCTAAGAGCAATGACTTAGTAAGGGTTGAAACTTCAGATCTTGATCTACAATAGCTTCAATTCTATCTGCAGTACGTTCATGGACAGGCAAATACGTTTCTTTATGTTACACAATTTTTTTAAACATCTTCTCCCAGAAAAGCCGTTTTGTCATGCATGTGTTTTGCACCATAAGACAGTCTTCAGCTGGTACATGTATGTATGTTATGCAGAATGTCCATTATAAGAAATTTTGCAATGGACCACTGCATATTAAATAATGTGTTTAGGATTAGATGCAATTTAATAATTTAACTGAAATACAGTCTCACCCGTAAAACAGACAAAAATGCGATACATGCTTGGCATTTGGTAAGAAAAGGAACAGAAACGATCTTCAGAAGTACAATTATTCAGATTTAGCTACACAATTTTATTTTTAAAAAAACAAAACATATCAAAAATTGTAAAATAAATCATTATTCTACACATAAATTATTTTATCCATAGAAAGAAACTTACCTCTGCTGGATCGACAGGTCTTGAAAAAACAGAAAACCGTCGATCTCTAGCTAACTTTGTTAAAATATCACGAAGAAACAATCTTAATTCTCGTAAAGTAGCTTCTTCTTTCTGTCTCAGCTTATTCAATTCAGCAGCAGTTAGCTGTCGTGTAACAGGTGGTGGAGCTACAGGAAGTTCTTCTGGAACAGCTAAAAAAAGAAATCTTCATTTACAACCATACATAAACAGAGAAATAAGAATTATGAAAAAATAATGCCTTTCTTCAGGCGATTACTTGAGATCAGCTGAGTAAAAATCAAGTACAGTGAATTCTCACTTGGCGATCACCTATGATCACCTCTGCACAGAACACTAAAATCATTTGCAACTATATAAATGGTCAACTTAGATAGGGTTCACTATAGTTATAAAATATTTTGGCAAATACATTATTAATACAGTAGAACTCCAATTATCCAAATCAATTGGGATCGGACCCCATTCGGATAATTGGATTTTTTCTGAAGAAAGGGTCTACGTATACTTTTATTAATTGCTGTATGTACTGCATGTTGAAAATGAGAAAAAAAAAAACTATTTTTAAAGAAAAAGAGGTTTTAATTAATTAAAATGAAAAGGCAACACTTTTACGTACATGTTAGATAGTGTACCATACTTACAATTTAAATACAAATACAATACTACAAATTTAAATACAATACTACAAATTTTTAAAATTCAAGTCATTGCTTGCTGAACATCCCAGTCAAAGAAAGCTGCTTGACAGACACCGTTGCCTGCACTTAAAATTCCTTAGCTAGTCATTACATGCTTTAAAGGATGACCAACCAAACTTCTGAGCTAAGATATTAGCTTTTTCACAAAGAATTGGACCCGAAATTGGGTTTCCCATAGAATGTTCCTTCACCACCCACTTGAAAATGGCATCTATATCTTTGTCCGTTGTTGCCTTCATTGGTTTTCTTGAAGAACTTCCATCTTTGTTTTCAAGCCAAGACATAAAGTTTAAAAGTGCAGGTTTGCTCCTTTTAATGTCTAAAATAGTTGATTGTCTAACACTACGTTTTCGTCTTAATTTTTTCCTTAAATTCTGAAAGTGATTCGGATAGTCGGAGTTCACATAATTGTACTATATTTTAATTATGAAAATGACTTTCTAACTGAAACTTAACATAAAATAATTGCCATAAATACCAAACTATTAAATTATAATTTATTATAGTCAATTATTTAAATTTGCTGTTTAGTTTGAGTTATATAACTCAATTCTTGAAATAAGATTGTAAAAGGTATCACTGTTGCCTTGAACAGCATATGACTCTGATGCTCTTTCTTTTATGAGGTTCACTCTGAAATTTTTTGAGATACACAGAGGTTTTTAAATTTATACTTATATAATTTTATCAGTGCTTAAAGTAGTCTCCTCCAGCATTAATGCATTTACTTCTACAGGCAAATTTTCCAAAGATTAAATGCCTCAAGTCATTCGTTTCTTGGATTCACAGGGAAAAAAAATCTCATCTTCGGAATCAAAACAGCATCTACGTAAGTTCTATCACTTTGATGTTTTTTATTTACTTAAGAAACTCAACTGTCAGTCTAGCTGAATGAGAAGATGCATTGTCATGATAAAGCATGAGTCCTCTAGCATTCACTTGTTAAAGAACTCTATGGGATTGATTACACTATTTGCAACTAAAGTGAAGATTCTATTTCAAGAAGAATGGGGAGAGGTGTATGATGGGATGAAGAGGTAGCTGAGGATTTGAAAGTTAAATGGAAAAAGTGGTATTGGGACATTTCTAAATTGGAAACTTTAATGATTTTTTGCATGAAAACTATCAGAATTCCACAAATTTGATATGGCACACACCTTCAGCATATTCTGCTTATCCAATTAAAATCATAATCTAACAACAAAATTTCCAAATTTGGTGTGCACTAAATGATTCTAATCTTGCCAATATTTCAATATAAGCATCTTGACCATCATAACATAACTTTAACCTTAGCTACATACCTAGATGTTATTTCAAAACAGATTTCATGGAATTCCAATTACATATTTTTTCCGCCGCTGGTGAATTAGCATGTGCAGCCATCGCAATCTTCTACAAAACATCAAATGAAAACTTTGAACTGAGCTGTGTAACTTCTAAATCAAGGGTAGCAACAGTAAAGAAGTTAACTTTGCCAAGGTTAGAGTTGGTGGCAATTTTGATTGTAGGAAAAAAATTCAAATTCTGGAAACCTATTTTTTACACAAGGAATAATTACTTTTCACAGACTGATTCAACAGTAGTTCTCTGTTGGATCTTCAGAATGGCAAATAGTGAAAGCCTTTTGTCATGAATGCAGTATTAGTGAAATTCAAGAAATATCCAATACATCAAATTGGAGACATTGCAGCAGTCGAGATAATCTAGTACTTTTATATCAAGAAAATGTAGAACAGCAGATTTGATAACAAAAAATGGCTAAGAGGGCTTAACTGTTTAAAACAAGCTGAAGAACTATGACCTCACAGTAAAATTTAAATTGATCCTTTGACTATGGAGGAAAGAAGAGAAAAGTTTAAAATTCAGCAAGTGTGACATTTGACAGAAATAAGAAAAGTTACCTCTTAGATTTGAACAAATGTAGTTAAATTGCAAAGCTATGCAGAATAATACCCTATATTAAGACATTCATATTTAAGAGAGAAGCGAAAACAAGGAAGACTGAATTCAAGTTGAATTACTTGCAAGTGAAATTTCTAACGTTGAAACCCACTGGATCAGAAAATACAGGAGCAAAATATTCCAAAAGAATTAAAAAATCTAAAAGAAGAAAAATGGATTCTGAAAAAATCAAAAGATTAAAAATTTGAATGCATCTTTAGAAAAAGAAAGAAATTATTGTAGTAGGCAACATATTACAAGAATCAAAAATGAAGATTTATGAAAAACATCCAATTTTATTGCCTGCAAAGCACAGATTCACTGAACTTATTATTGAAGATAATCATGAGAAGGTGTGGTAATGATTATTTCGTTGGTTGTGGTGGCAAAAGTATATGTCACATGTTATGATAAACAGATATATAGTGGCAACTTACCCCAGGACAAGATCCAGGTCTATAGCCCGCCGTGACGAGAGAGTGACAAACACGTGAAACAGATTTAATTCTTGCTTTATTGGATACTAACAATACTGAAGAGATATTCCCTTTTTTTTTAATCCGGTATGTCAACATGACGATATGAGGCCTCTCACTCAGAACAAATAAGTACAGATCAATGCTTCCACGGAGCCCTTCGAAGGCGTGGTGTATTTTCATTGCAGCTCAAACACATGCAGGTACTTCTTCATCGGGATCAAATCGGTTGCCAGGCGAAAAAGCCAATCCCGGGAAAAAAGAGATCAGCTTAAAATTTTGCAGCTACAGCGTCAGAGAAGAAAGAAAACTCGCTTCCCTCATACACACCAGGGAGACCAAAGAAAGCTTGCACGGTAAATTCCAAAAGTTTGCCTTTTTACCCCACTCTTACCGTCTTTTTCCCACGCACCATCTCCATCTCGCAGCTTCACAATCTCCTCCTTCTCCTCCCTCCTCGATGGACAAAATTACCGCCTTTTATAAGTTCCTACATTAAGTTTTGCCACCAATGAAAAAGATCCAGCGTCAAAGGCAACCAATCGCAAAATACCTTCAGCTACAGAGGCAAACAGAAGTGAAGACGCTAGTTGTCTGACACAATACTTTCCTCCGCTTACAACAGTTGTCTGATGCAATACTTTCCTCCGCTTACAACCATTGTCTGATGAAATCTGTTCCTCACCTTACAACACAAGTTGGCGAAAAAATGAAACTGTCACCAAAGGAATCTGATGCAAATATCTAATTATTGCCATAACGTAGTAAATAATTAATTCAACGTGATCTCGTCACAGAAGGTATACTATGCAGCTTTTCTGATACGTTAGTTCAAACTTGAGAAAGATTTTGGGTTATAAGAGGAAGAGAGTACATAAAAGCCTATTCTAAAAGAATGCATAATGTGCAAACGTTATAATGCTTGTCCAGGAATGCAAGTTACAGCACCACTGCCAGCTGAGAGAATTGCAGAATCACCACCTTCTGCAATAATGGGAATAGACTCTGCTGGTCTGCTCTCTGCAGAGAACAGTGACAGTAAATTTCATATACTCTTATTTGCCTGTGCAATGTGTGCATGATGTGAGCAATCCATCTAGAATAGTTCCAAATATGAGAAGAGTTCATGTTCACTTTCAGAAGATTTATATCTAGAAGAGGTTTGTTTACTGTCATCTACACAGACAATGCTAAAACATTTAAATGAGCAGAAGTGAACTTAGCTAGTTATAAATGTTAGTTTTGTTTTACAACAAATAGGCTGCAACAGCAGTCTTTAAATAAAAATCTGTAAAAGCAAAAGCAAAGAGGGGGAAAAGAGAGAGAGAGAATAACTGCTGAGTTCACTGACTACACTGCATAAATTACATCCTGACATGCCACTAGCAGCAACTATGCTTGTTTACCACTGACTGACTTCTGATCCAAATTTGCATGAGAAAAATAAAAACATTATGCCAACAGTTTTAGGATACATTAGTTGAAACAGCAAAAAATACTGCATAACTACATAAAAATGTTCTGTAAGAATAGATTAATCATAAAAAGAACAGCTATATATGACTAACCTTTTTGAACAAGCTTCTGAGGAAATTTATATATTTCTTTAACCAAATTATCAAAAAATGCCTTTCTTTCTTCTTCATTTGGATTGCGCATGCAAAAAACTTGTTCAGCAGAAGCACCGAAAATTTCCTGTATCTAAAGGGGGAAAAAATGAATATTTCATATAAATATTTGTTGCATCTAGAGAGCTGCCAAATGAAATAATATTTTTCATGTGCACAATATAATTTTAAGTTCTGCAAACTGGAAATTTCAAATTATAATTTAAACATCTCAAAGACTTCATCATTAAATGGAAAATATACATAATTCTGAGTTCCAATCATTAGAAACGACATTATTAAATAGGAATGACTTGAAGATCAAATCCTATGAAAGCTTTAGAGTTTGTTTTATATTTTTTCACTGAATGTAAAATGCTTTAAACAGGAAAATATCAAACTATTAAGTGTTTAAATAATATTAATATACATACATAAACATTGATGACTGTAGTCTATATGTTACTGAAAGATTTGTACATAAAACCATGCTGCAGTCTGGCCTTAATCACTCCAGTTTGAAAATTTCAAAACAAAATAAATTTTAGCTGAGAAAAATAAAAAATAAATTCTAAATAATTAGTATCCAAAATTATTTTATAATATATCAGTTCCTCCCCCCTCCCACTGGAGTCTCTTTTTGCATGATTTATTTTTATACAGTGCGTAAAAGTTATATCATATGACATATACTTCAGTTTTTCCTGGAATTTCCCAGTATACTATATGCGAGTACTATGCTGGGGGCCTTTCATTCTTGAGATCTCACATCATTTGTTCAACATTTAGAGCCTCCTATTTGTCTGCACTTTTTCCCAAGCCACAGAAGTTCAACAAGAGAAAATGTGAGAGCTGCAACATCAGAAAATATACATCCACATCAAAAATATACATTCACATCGATGAATGAAAATATGAAAACAGAAAGTTGGATGCGAAACTCATTTTGCTGAAATCACTGATAACATAGTGGAAAATGAAGAGTAAATTGATTTTAATGAGTAAAATTATATCAGTATAATAGAGTGCATCAAATCAAACATGAATGAACTAAATAATGAACCACATATTAACATAAATGGACAACAGGCTTATGAAGAATGGGAGGACAACTCAGACAATGACAACTGCATTGAAGTGCCACATAAGAATTAACAGCTGAACAACAATAAAAAATTAATGGAATGGTTGAAGTCTTGTCAGAGCATATATAGAAGTTGATTCCAATACTAAATGTAGCTTTTCAATTCACAGAATGATAGGCAGCACAATTTGTTGCTTCAAAGAAATGCATGAAAAGCAAAAGCCAAAGAAGGAGAATATACATACATATATGGATGCTATAATATTTATAAGGGAAAATTAATTATGAAAAACTTGTATTTTTAAAAATAATATTTTTTGTATGCACCTAGTTCCTTGATTAATCTGGTTCCAAACAGCCTAAAATATTAACAAAGCCTGGTGAGGAACTGGTGTATTATGCATTAGAAATCAGTTCAATTAGTAATATAAAATCACACAAGTTGCCAAAGGTTAAAGGGAGAAACACAACATAAGTACTTTTTAAATATTTTCTACTGCACTAATAAATAATGTATACTTTTATAATATGGGAGATCTGCCTTATTGATAGATGGCAATCATCTTTTATATATCAGATATCTTGACTTGTATTGGACAGAAATTTATTCACTGAGTAAAAACAATAACAATCCCCTCTTAATTGTTAAATGCACTTTTACAAATTATCAAGGCTTTCATTAGAGATGATAAGCATTAACCAGATACCACCAGGTAAATTTTATAAATAAAAACTAGTTAATTGTGCGACTGTTGATGAAAATTTAATTTTTAATACACTTGTCATAAATCATTCTATGTAATATGTCAACATATCTAAGAACATTCAAATAATAGAGTATAATTAATAATATCAATAATTTGAACCAGAGAATTCAAAATAAAGCATTAAAAGGTTTCACGAATAGGTTCCACAACTAACTGTCTTTTTCAATAATTAAAAATTGATAACACTTCAATTATTTTTCCCATTCCTCTGATACCAGTAAGTGTGGAAACATACCAATAAGTTTACATCATCATAAACAGGCTTTGAAAAACAAATGTTTAGCTTTGTTCTTGACATAGTGTGAATGAAGTTTTTCCTTGTGCTCATGATCCTGAAGTGCTTGAAGTCATTGCGTGATCGAGCACATTTTGCAATTAAGCTGAACATACAAAAATAATTCCCATAATATCTTCTTTTTATCTAAATATCTGGGGTTTTGCATATGTTATTTAAAAGTCATTTCTTATTACATAAACAGAAAATCCTAATACTTAAAAAAATTCAGATTAACTGGAAACAGTAGTAGAAATGATTATATCCCCATATTTGAATTATTTCTGTGCAATAGTGAAGTATAAAACTTAATAACTGAAACATCAGTGCTTATTATATCCTACTGTCATATTTATCTATAAAAATTTTAAGCTGCTTCCAGTGAGTGAAATATTTCTAAATTATAAATGTATGTTGTTAGCATTGCACAAATTACTTTCGTAAAATGATATATAATATTCATCACAATAACACTAACACTCTATAAATTCCAGTCAGTAAGTTATCACACTTTTTGACACAATTTAAAATGAAACGTTCTGTTTCAGTGTATCAAATATGATACGGTGAACCCCCGGAGATTAATTAAGACGTATTATATACATGGATGTAGGAAGTAAGATGGAGTGGCCCTAACCGGTTTCCCCATATCCTGCTCTAAAGCACTGGCGATCCCTACGTGGTGACCAAAACATTGGGTAATTTACCATTAAGTTTAATGGGTTTTGACACAATTGGATGTAAATATTTTGTAATTGCGTCATAAATATACATATAAACACATATATTTAATTTTTTTTTAAAGTACTTCAGAGTCCTAAGTATATGAAAAGAATACATTTTTAAACAACATTTCATTCTGAACAGAATTAAATGCTATACTTTTCACAGAACAGTTTAATTTGAATGAAATATTTTCAAAAGTTTTTGTTAAGTACAATAGAAACAAATTTTAAGGTAATTTGATTTTATCCGGTTAAAGATTACAAAAATTAAGATAAAAGTTTATTGTATTATTAATATTAAAATTATGCATTATTTCTTTTCTATTTATGGAGCGTCTTCCTAAAATACTTTCTCAAATGTGACATATTTTAGCTTCTGATGCATCTTTTAAATAGAAAACTATAAGTCAACTTATAATTAATGCTCTATTTGGTCCATTTCAAATTAGAGCACCTTTTATTTTAATTGCAAAATACTTTAAATAGTACTTAAATTTCTCTGAATATTTCTGAAAGGGAATAAAATAAGGATTTTTTAAAAAATATTATTTAAAACTTGTAACTGAGTTATAAAATGTAAGGGGAATAATTCTTTTAATTATAGTTATCAGATTTTTTTACCCATAATTTCGTGCTTTGCCATAATTAAATACACCACCACACCTTACCCATAATTTCAACAATACGTATTCCAAAACTCTTCTTTCATACTTTCTTAAATACGCATCTTATACAATTTGCTTTACAATACTTTTTAACAGATTGCTTTCCAGTACGAACAATTCTTGCTTGAATAGTTTTATAACTTATTTGTCAACAGGATTTTAATTTATGTTTATAATTCAATGCTAAGTTTATATTTAGATAATATTTATAATCATTATAAATTTAGATACATTTAAAAATTAGATTTCTTAACAGTAACTTTAAGGAAGACAAGGAAGCCTTTGGATGGGAGACAATAGCGATTTCCATTTCTTATTTTATTTCCATTCCTTATTTTCTTTTATTTCTATTTTTTAGAAATAAAAAAACATTAAAGCTCGTTTAAAGTGCGTTTCTGTAATCAGTAAGCAGTAAATTTCCTTGCAGAAGTACTTGTTTATGAATGAATAAATCTTTCATTTCAAATACATTTATAAATAATTTAATAAATATTTACATATTTTGTTAAAGGGCAGATACATGCTTTTTGCAAGTACATGCATAAATACCCATACATATTTCATATTTTTCATTTCAGGCATGTGCAAATCTTTAATTTCTGTGCATTCACTATATTTTTCGAGTAAAGTAATTTACACTAATTTAACATATATCCGAAAGTTTTACATATGAAATATGTATAAATATAATTTGAATAAAAATCGCATGCATAATTTTTAATACCCACTCAAAGGTAAGTTTTTCTTCAAAATTCCTCCACGATGGCATCTCTCCCTTTGGGCAAATAGCCCTTGCATGCCTTACTCTATTTAATAAAAACTTAACCTGACCTATGTGCCTAATTACAAATATTAAATTACTACTGATGATAATAGAGATAAAAAAATGCTATGCAAACCTTCAGAGGTAATTGAGCAAATGAAACATCACTAGTGGCAAATAACATTAATGGTGTTGCAGGATCTAAATCTTGTAATAAGGACAAAAAGGTAGCACGGACAGTATCGGATAAAGTATCCCACCAGTATCCAATATGGGGTAAAAATATCACACTTGGTAAATTCCTCTGTGCTTCATGAAAGATCTAAAATAAAATAAAATAAAAACAAGAAGAATTTAGTTTTTCTTTATCTTTTTGGATAAGAGTACCAATCATTTTTAATCAATAAATAACTCTTTAACCCTCCGATTAGGCAGTTTGTATATATGTAGGTTGGGGCAAAAGTCATGGTAACTATTTTCTTGAACCAGTCCGGTTGTAAAATGTGACATATGCAGACGAAAGGACAAGGTCTTAACTACACCGCAAAGCGATTTTGCATAGCTGTAGCTTATCACGCAATACCCTGTGGATGATGCATTTCTCGATGCCACTTGCCCTCTCTAACCCCAGTAACGTCCACCGCCTGTCTTCCTCCATAAGGTGCTCAATGACAGCACGTGCCAAGTCGGTCCGCACGCTCACCGATAGTCTCGAACATTGCTCATCACTGGTTGAAACACGTCCTTGCTGAAACTTTCCTACCCCCGTGCTACTGTACGATATGGTAGGGCATTATTCCCAAGGGCTTCTACTAATTCACTGGGACATTCCATCGCATTTCTCCGTCGGAGAACGGCTATTCTGATGTAAGCGCGCTGCTCAACACGGGTTACTTCCATCTCCCACAACACTCACCAACTGACTGATTTCAGAGCCATCTGTTGTTCTGCATACACACTACGCCTGCAGAACTTCCACACAACACATATACGTTTTGTGATCCGTTCACATATCTACAAGAAAAAAATAGTTGCCATGACTTTTGCTCCAACCTTCGTATATGTACCCAAGAATATTTTTATTGATAAATACTTAATGTACATGCATCTTGAAATGTGCCCAGACTTTTAAGAATATTTATTAGAACAAAGAAAAGTCAAGGTCCGAAACATTAGGTTGTCCAGAAAATAATGCAGGTTTTTAACCTATATCTTTAAAGTATCATAACTCAAAAAAATTTTTATTAATCAAAATATGCACCAGCCGAATCAATGCATTTTTACCAGGAGTTCTGGATGCGATAAAGTTGTTAAAGGCGTTTTTGGCCTCGTCTTGGTTTCTGAAGCATTTCTTCTGCAAAATGTTATCCAGATGTTTGAAAAAGTGGTAATCAGTTGGCGAAAGGTCAGGCGAATATGGGGCAAGTCTTGTATCCCAATTCGTTCAATTTCTGTAGGGTCAAGTGAGTGATGTGCAGACGAACATTGTAAGTGAAGAACTGGCCTCTTTCTGTTTATCAATGCCGGGCACATACGTTGCAATTTTTGGTGCATTTCATTAATTTGCTGACAGTACTTATCTGCTATAATCTTTTCGCCCAGATTTAGGAAGCTGTGGTGGATGAGACCACCAAACAGTCACCATAATTTTCTTTGGGTGCAAATTTGGCTTTGCAAAGTGTTGTGGTGTCTGACTGCGGTCCAATCACTGAATGTCACCGGTTGTTATAGAGAATCCACCTTTCACCGCATGTAACAATTTAATCAAGAAAAGGGTCATTTTTGTTGCGGAGAAGAAGAGCAGACGACACTTCAAAATGACAATTTTTTAATTTTTGCTTCAATTCGTGTGGCACCCACTTATTCAGCTTCTTTGACTTCAATTCCTATATAATTCAAGTGATCAGAAATCATTGTTTTGCTTATGCAAGCTCCTCCGCACGCTCTCAAACAGTTGTGCACAGTTTGTTTTAACCTGAAGTCTTCAAATCGTCGTCATAAACACCTGAAGAGCGTCTACGGCGCTCTTGATCTTCTAAGTCAAATTTATGCAGACGCAGATAATTTATTTTTTCATTATCATTTTCAAAATCTCAACAGAATTCAGCAACTGTGATTTTATACATGTTACTATGTGCAATTAAACTAATTCAAGTATCTTTTTTTTTTTTTTTTTTTTTTTTTTTTTTTTTTTGGTGTGTGTGTGTGTGTGAACAGCTTTAAAAAAAAAAAGAAAAGAAAAAAAGAAGACGGATTTTCTGCAAAGCGCTATAAAAACACACATACATTTTCCGAATATATAAAGTTTTACACGTTAGTATGAACACCAAAATAAGATATATACTAAGATCGGCTGTCCAGCCTATAATAATGCTTGAAATAGAAGGGAAAAACAATAGTTTTATAGCTCATTTAGACAAGCAGGCATTTTATCAGTTCACAACATTAAATTACATTATTTTCTGCTGTTCAGATTTAAATACTTATTTAAGAAATACATAAGTAATTTTGCATTTCTATTAAGCTATACTAAGACAAAATTTTAAATATGCATCACAACTGGACATTTCCATTGCAATATTTAATTAATAAAAATAAAATCTGAAAGTTTTCAGATTTTAACACTCCCCAAAAGAGTTTGGTAAGTTTTTTACACTCTCACTGAGCTTACAGTTCACCAGTTTGCTGTTACACTCACTCTTACTAACACTTTTATCTTTTTAGCTTTATTATTAAGCATAATTTACTTTGCACTTATGCCATATACAATTCAACAGCAAAATTACAAAAATTTTGAAAGCAGCACAGCAGTATACATTTAGAATTCATGATGCGGCGTGAAGTGTACATACATTTTTGCTTTTTTTCAGTCTTTCCTCAGTTTCTCATATGAATGTTCAGTTTTCTTACTAACATAACTTATTGCAAGATAGCTCTAAATTTTTTTTTTTTTTTGTCTTTAATGTGTTGTGTATTTATTTAATAAATATAATGTTCTTGGTACTTACAATACACAAAACTCAGTGCAACAGCAAAATCACAAAATATTTAAAAAAACAGCATATTTTTAGAATTTCCAATGGACAGTCTGACATGCTGAAGATAAAAATGTTTTACTTCGTACAATGCTGCCACTGCTCACTTTAAAAACATTGAGCTTGTTAGTCAAAAAATCGTCAAAGTTTTACAAAATATAAAATATATAATGAAACAAATTCAGAATCTGGGCTTCCAAGTGCCTATGTTCCAGTGAAGTACTATGTTATTCAAAATTTGGTGTCTAAGCACCACTGTTTTCTCACAATGCGAGAAACATGCATACATTCATGCACATTCTTCTATTCTTCATTGTTTATTTTCTTTAAATATAGTACAGGACAATAATATTTGGCGACAACATTTGAAAAGTGATACAATGCATTTAAGTGTTTCAACGCATGAGACTAATATCCCACTCGGGATTACCGTTGCTTTTGGGCTAACAATCAAGTATTAAAACATAAATTCTTCCCAATTTATTTTACACATTAAAAGTTGTAACATTTGTTACTGTTTCAGGTTGAAAACACTAATGACATTTAAAAAAAAGCTTTTTACTTTCATTTTAGACTTTACGGCTCAAAAATATTTTCTTGCTTTAGAAAGAGGTACTTTCAACCTCTGTGGAAACACCCCCTTCCCCCATTTTCAAGCAATTTACAAATGCTGTCCATTGGCTACAGACATTTGGAGTACCTTCATTTTAGATTTAAAGGCTGAAAAATATTTTCTTGTTTTAGAAAAAGCAACTCTGAACATCTGCAATACCAATATGTAGATAATTAACAATTTTTATGAGGAATAACCCAAATTTCTATTTCAGTGAGATTACTAGAAACTTAGTGGAGAACTGCTGAAGAAGATATATCACAATCACAACGACTGCTTGCAGCAAAAAATTTACAGTGCCTCAAAGCACACTTATCACATTATTTCAGCAAGCAGAACAACAATATAAAAAGTAAAACAAGCTCTGTCTCTAAATATCCTCTCCCTGCCACTGCCTTGCTCAAAATCCACATCATTTATTTCTCCGCTTTATCACAAGAAATGAAATATATGTCTTTATACCAATGTAAAGAAGAAGAAAGAACTATTACATTCTAACACCCAGACTAACTTTACCCAAGCATAGACTGTACAGATAAATCTATTTTCTCTTTGGCAAGACTTCAGCATTATAAATTTTGAGCTCATGCCATGAAATAAACAATTTCATATAACCTCTATTAAAGTAACTGTAATGCCTAGCTCATGTTATTCAGTAGAAAGAACAATGATGGGTGGGGTGAAGAAAGAATATCATGTAATGATCAAACAACATAATAATGCCTTCCCTAACTCAGAAAATCCCACAATGTCTACAACTGAAAAGCCTAAATGAAAGCTTAGCCCCACTTTCCAAACACTTTTAATTTCACTCTATTCTGATTACAGTTCTTTCAAGAGTTCTCCCCAAGAATGTACAAACATTAATTTTTATTCTTATTCTTGTCTATTCACAAAATGCATAAACTTATATTGCACTTCTTCGTTACTAGTTAAATACCAAATTTATATGTTTAACTATTCTTTATTTTTGTTTGAATACAACATTAGATAACAAGCATTATATTTTCTTCTCTTTCCATACTGCTTTGCTGAATTTTCCTTCTTTTTCGGTTTTTTGTTTCAGCTGCTTGGGATACTTCCTTTTTATATATGATGGCAGCCAAGAGAAGGGTTGGACATTCCTTAAAAAGCCCTTTTCAATCTGCAGACTTGTCCTAAGGCAGGCTGGGGATTTAAACATCACGTTAATTTTTTAATACATATTATGCCATATCTAATTATTATTGTGCATTTTCATTTATGGCTTTTCCACTGCTGTCATACTAACCCACAATGTTATGGTTAGTAAAGTTTCTCTGAAAATACATACGTGCATATATATGTGCAAAATAAAAAATATATAAAAATTTTAATTTTAATTTGCACTAGTCCCTTCACTTTTATTTTAATTTTCCTATTTCCCCCGTCTATCCTAAAAATAATAACTGCCTACAATAAATCTCTCTAAACTGCAAAATTTCAAAATTAATTCATGTCATGTGGCTTCTTTATTAATGCTCGTGATGCAGGGTACTTATGCAACATTTCAGCAAATAAGATTTCAAATTTGGGAACCAAAACGTATTATTAACCAACAAAGATTAAACATGAACCAAAACCAAATCATTCTAAACCAAACTTTCATCTCAGCGAAATCACATTCTCACCTTCACTTCCATCCAACCTGCTTGCTATTCGGCTTTGCTAATTAATTTTTCTCTATCAAAACTGATTGTAATGAATATGCAGTCATGATACAAATGTGATCAAAAATGGCACATAAATTGCCTTCTATTATGGTATGGAATTTCCGTTAAAAATATGCTTCTCAAGAATACTTAAAATTTAAATTGGCTACTACCATTGTTGTCTTTAATGACAGTAGACCACCTTTAAAAACTACAACACAAATAATTTAAATCCAGTAGGGGGAAAAAAAAAAAATTGACCAAGGTATTTAATTTCAAAATTCGGGATTTTTAACATCATCTGGATTGCCTTGGGGGGTCAGTCAAAAATAAATTAGGATAATTAAGAGTTTGATTTATTCCTATTAATATCACTCACATATATTCTTTTGCAATTTATCAGTACATTCTTTAATTTATAATTTTATTACATGTTTTACTTTAATTTATAATATGCCAAAATTTCCACACAAGGAATTTCTTAAGTTTTCAAATGTTAAAAATATGTTATGAATACTCTCATGAAATTTTATTATGTTCGAATCATATTTTAATAATCATACAAAAATCCATTAAACTACATTTTCATAATTAATTTATGCAAATGTTATGAGTTAACTATGCACCAATATTGAAGCCTGTGTTTTCTAGTACGTAAATTCTGGGAGATTCAGAAGATAAGTCTTTCTTCCTGAAAAAATTATTTTATTCAACACTTTTCATGACAATCTGCACAGCAATGCTAATCACTTAACATATCAACATTGGACACCTTTCATGCTGATATTTTATTTTTAATTATGTATAAAAGCAAAGATATTGTTCTCCAATTTATGTATGGCACCTGAATACTATCTAAAACTTTAAAATTAAATACCTCAATCAATTTTTTTAAACATGGGCTTCACGCACTTGCACTTAATTTTGAACACCCATGTGTAAAATTTTCCTTAATATAACTACATTGAAATTTTTACAAAACTGACTTTTTTAAAATGCCATAAAATGAACATTTGAATTATTTAAAATATTTCTGTGTGTCTGTTACCAATGTTTGTGAAAGTAAAAACTGCATAACTACTGTTGCAGACAAAGTCTACATACACAAATATGCATCACATATACCTGCAGTATTTTTTAAAACCTACCTGAGCACACGCCTCTTCTGGAGCTCTAGACGTAACAGCATACAATGCAGGTATATCAAGCCTGTGTATCGAAATATTTTCAAGTAAATATAGAACAGCAGGTGCAAGACTTCCTTGTCCTTGGCCCTCTTTGCCAGATAGTAAAAAATAAGGGCGGTGTACAACAGGGAACAATCTAAAAACAGAAAGAAACAACAATGAAGAAATAAAAAATCTCCATGAATATTACAAATGTACAAAATGAGATAAGAAAATAAAATGCTGCTTAAAATTCCTGTTATAAAATTTTATTGTGCCATTATCTGATTCTGAAGAAACAATCAATAAGCAACAAAAAATGGTCCTGTATGTCATTGACTTTTTGTTTCTTCTTTATATAAAACACAGTACATGTTGTAAATAAATAAGCCCTATAAATAAATATACTAATGAAGGAAGAATATTTAATATGTCAAATTTTAGTTTAATAGAAATTTACACATTTTGTGGATGAAAGCAGGTATCACAAGAGCAAAATTTGCTGCTAGGGATATGGTTAATTTTTACTTCTCTCTATAAATAGTTCTTTAACAATAATAAGAATGAAAGGTTTATAAACCCTAATGATCAAAATTACAGCAGTATGCAAAATTTTCTTATTTTCTTTGAATGAATGATTGAAAATGATACACTCTGAATATGGAAAAAATCAAAAAGAAATAGAATGGCTTTTACAGCTTTTAAAAAGTGATACCAAAGTGAAATATACATAATTCAAAATTTACCTGGATAACAGTGACTTGCCAGTTCCAGGCTGAGACACATCATGACATAAAGCACTAGAATTACTGATTTTTGGAATTTCATGATGATATAGGCAACTGTCACTATCTTCAGAGTCAATGTTTACAGGAGGAGGTACCAGTTCTGAAGTTCCACTAGAATCTGCATTATATATGAAAAACATTAAAACAAAGCTAATAAAAATCTCAGAAATAATTGTAAAATGAAATCATATTTCTATTAATATATATATATATATATATATATATATATCAGGGGTGACCAAGCTCCTTGATAGTCCGAGCCACTTTTCAAAATTTGAAATTTTACGCAAGCCACAATTAAATCCATATTTAAAAGGTATGCAAAAAAGTATTAAATTTTTTTGTTTTTTTATTGAAAACATATAAATAAAAGTACAAAATATATGTATTGAATTTAAATATTAAAAATTAAACACATTTATTTTACTTCTCTTGATAATTCTTTAAAATTTGGTGAATAATTGGTGACAGCACTTCTCAGTAATTCTTTGAGATGCTGGTTAGTTAATACTGATCGGTGTTTGGATTTCACGACTTTTAAAGTGGAATATAATGATACACAAAAGTACGTTGTTCCGAATATTGAAATAATTCGACAAGCAGCCTTTTTTAGTTCAGGATACTTCAATTCTTGTACAAATTTCCAAAATTCAGTAATCGGCGTCGACTTATATTTTAATTGTACAGCTTGATCTTCTTGCATCTCTATTACTTCTAATTCTCCAGATGCTTTTGGGTCATAATTATATTGGAAATGGAAAATTCACCTTGAATTATGTTAATTTCAAATGGATTCAGGAAAAAATCAAGAGACAATTTAAAATATTTCAAGTCTTGAAATCTATTTTGGAATTCCGTCAATATTCCTTCTAGCTTTTTTATATACTTGTTGAGTTTTTCTTGCTTAATATTGGAACAAATCTTTTTAATTCGAAGAAAATGACAAAATGTTTTATTTTTGATATCCTTTTGAAAAAAGTTGTAATTTAGTTTGAAAACTAAATATACATGGTGAGAGGTCAGATATTACTTTATCTTTCCCCTGCAATTGTAAATTCAGTGTTTGCAAATGTTCCATGACATCAGTCAAAAACATTAAGTCTTGCAACCACTTGTCATTGTCTAATTTATTTCCTTTTCTTTTAGAAATGCAGTTATGATATTAAACAAATCTACAAATCAATTTAATACATTGTAGCTAGATAACCGTCTAACAATGGAAAAGAAATTAATGTCATTTGGAAGTTCTTTGTCCTTTAATTCTTCAAGAAAATTTTTGAATTGTCAATGATTTTTTGCATTGGTGCAAATATAATTTACAATGTATAACACTGTTTTCATAACATCAGGACATTTAAATATTTTGTAACAAGATGTTCTTGGTGAATTATGCAGTGAATCGGTATGAATTGTGAAATTTGAGAATAATCTCTTAAAAGCCCAATAAGACCGATTTTTTCAACCAGAATTGCCAGAGCTTCGTTAGTTGCAATGCTTACAAGTTTATTAAAAAGCACATAAAAAGTTTTCATTATGGAATCTCATGCATTTTTAATACTGACACTGCGGGTTGACTCTTGAAGTGCTACTAAATCTAATAATTGTTCTTTAACAACGAAGTCAGGTGAAACAAATCAAACATGTGTGGGATGTGATTGGACGCTGTTTGCAGACTCTGCCCCTGCCTCGTTCAGAAGATGAACTGTAGCAAATGGTTGAAAGGGAATGGAGAGCCATCCCTCAGGACACCATCCGCACTCTTATTGACTCTATGCCTAGATATGTTTCTTCGTGCATCACTGTCCGCTGTGGTCCTACATTCTACTGAGCCGATGCCATTCTCACTCTGTATTCTGACTATCATTTTGAAATAAAGATCACTTTATTGCTGCTTGCTGTCTCTGTCTTTTTTCCAAATTTCATCACGTTCTGACCACTCCTTCTTGGTGTTGCATTTTCAATGTCGAGTAGTGTATATAAATTATTCTACACATTTTTTTACACAAGAAAGTAATAATGAAATTAATCTGCATGTAAAATTCACTGTAAAGTTGATGGCAAAGAATATATATATATATTGATTACACAATATAAGTAATCTGAGATTCTGACTTGAGTTTACTAACTACTTTTATTTTATATAACTTCAAAAGAACATAAGAAGGGAAATAATAAGATAACAAAAAAGCTTTTTGAAAGGGGGAGAAATACTTGCTTTGGCACAAAAAAAAGGGGGGGAATACTAGACACTATTGTGCTATTAGCATTCTATATCTGATTATCCTGTACTTTAAAACATAGGATAATAATTAAAGCTACATCATCCATTATTTATCCTTCTAAGAATGTAAATCCATAATGAACATTCTAAGCTTTTGGAAAATTATGGGTAAATAATGAAATTTCACAATGAACAGTGCTTTAACACATCTCTGCTATTTGTCAGAAAACCTTTTTTTTTTTAAGGGGAAAAAAAAAAAAAAAAAGACTTTCATATACACAAGGGGAACAAAGTGCATATTTTTCTATATTTATTTGAAATTTCAATCAACTATACTGCAATTTTTATGCAAAGTTTACTTTCAGTAAATTTAAACATTCCCCTACAAAGTCTGTGTTAACACTCTAAGCAGCATAGGTTTATTCAGTATTGAGATTTGTTGTCACCTGGAATACATTAAATTTTTTTAAAATATTTTATGTTCTCATTTTTTTTAAAGATCTAATTACCCTAATGAAGGAAGGTTATAAACACAAATAGTAAATTAAGTAATTACAGAAGTCTACCTAATATATGCTGTTGAAATACAGATCTTCATGAAGACACTAAAACTGCAATGTCACTTAAAAGGCTAAAAAAATAAAATTAAGTATTTTTGTGCAATAGACAAACACTTAAATAGCATATTAATTACTACATATATTGAATGTGAAAAGAAAGGAAAATACTTGAAACTTGAAAGGGAATTTTCTCTTTTACTTTATTATATAAATATTTTCAGTGAGTAATTCATAGATTTTGCACTTCAGATAACTGAAATTATCTGAGGTAGGCCAAACATTATGGCTGACCTTACTTAGCAATGGTTACATATATTTTTCTTCTCCAGATACTTTCTGACAGCCGATGGAAAACTCTTAGTTACTCATTACTGATGATTTAAAAGAAACATGCCATAGCACTGGAAATAATAAATTTTTTTTACACTTACTCAAGTTATTTTTTATAGCCAAGGAAAAAAATGGGAACATCTTAGAAATTTTTGAAATGACAGTATGAAGCATAGGTTCAAGAAGAGGCTTTAAAATTGATGAAAGAGGCTTTGCAGAAAATACAGCACTCCTCTGAACAGATGGCTTCATTTTCTTCAAAGCATTGAAAAAATCCACAGATTGAACCTGAAACCAAATTCCAGAATGTAATACAAACACAGAAATAACATTTTAACTTCTTTTCATTTATTTAGCACATACTGCATGAAAATTTTTCTTCAAAACATATACATGCACACATATATTAATACTAAAGGACCTGGAATTATATTAACATTTAAACAACATATGAATATTTACGAGAATTTTCTGATACAAATACATTTTGGGTTGAGTGCAGCAAGTCCACTACATCATGTCACAAGTAAAGGGGGTATTTTACATTACAATTATTTTAAAAACACATAATTTAAAATTGACAATTATAATAAAAAGTTTTAGTACTATACTTCCAACAATACAAATTATGATATTAAATTAATAATTATCTGATTAAAATCTGCTTAGTACTATTTTATCAAATTATTTTCTATTAAAACAAAATAAAGTAACTGTTTAAGCACATATGTTAAGTGTCCCAGTAACACCACTGTAAGTTTAAAACAGTCAAAAGTCGTTAATTCGGACACCCATAATCCGGACCTCAAAGCTACAAACTTTCTGCGCATGCGTCTCGTTGAGCCATGCGCAAAAACCTTTACGGCTGCGAATATGCGTGTGTGCATGTGCAAAATAAGTTTACGAATGCGCGTTTAATGTATACAGGACGGTATAAGCTAAGCCAAAACTATCTAATTCAGTTTACTGCGTTGTTCCTTAATCTTTGAATTGGATTCGGCTTGTTATTTTTTGCAGACTGTTAAGAGCAATTTTATAAAAGTAAGCTTGAACTTTCGATTATGTAAAATAGAATTTCTGATATATATTTACTAATATGTAAAGGATCTACAAAGCGAAAGTATGTTTCAAAGTCTATTAAACAAAAAGTGGAATTGCTGCAAAAAAATGGATAACGGCATGTCCTTTGTTTATCTAAACTTTAACGTTTGTTTATCTAAACTTTGTTTATCTTTAACGCGGCGGTGGGGCGCGCAATGAATTGGAAGTTGATCTGTCAGCACTATCCTTATCTTCAGGGCAGATGTTTTTATTTTATCTGGCTTATAATTCCTTACTAAATGCAGTATTTCCTCTCGATGTACTCCGTCTTTGATATGATTTAAATCAAATTCCTCGTCATTATAATTCGCTTTTGATAGCGAAGAAAGTGACAGAGGTTATTGAAAACGAAAAAATTTCGATTGACAAATTAGTCGGTATTCTCGGACACAGCAATTATAGGACTTGAACAGCAGAACTTTTCGCTGAAGTCCCGACGAGTCCGGATTAATGACTTTTGACTGTAATATGACAAGCAGGATTCGACTCACTGCACTTAATAACTTAAAAATTATCAATGCACAAGTGACCATTTGAAATTAAATCTTACCTGAATTGTTTCCACATCTAATTGTAACTTTTGTTTTGATTGATAAATCTGTGGATAGCGACGCCGAAGAGCTACAAGAGCTGCTTCAGAACACAATGCCTTTAAATCAGCTCCACAATAACCAGCAGTACAAGCAGCTAGTTCAGACAGTAAAGAATCAGGCTGAGGTGGTATCCAATCTCTAGTAATTATTCTAAAGATTTGTTCACGAGCCTAGAGTCAAAATTGAACCAAAATTTATAAATAAGGCACAATTAAATCTCAGATGATGGATTACTTTAAAACACTACTTTTTAGATTATTTTTGTAAAAGAAAAAATCTTATCAATAAAAGTTTTACATTTGAGTACTACATCTGAGAATTGTTCTGTTAAGTTTAGAGTACTAAGAATTTATTCCATTAAATTTCTAATGCCTATATGACATTCTATTCTCCTAATCAGATATAGAGTCATTCTTTTAATTTTAAATACTGCATTTTGGTTTAAAAAATTATGGTTTGAAGCAACATTTCTTCCAAATGTTCAGGAATGTTTATGAGATCTAAGGGAGTAAAATTATTTTCACAATATTTTAGAAACATTTTTTTTTACTAATTTTCTGCTCCATATTTTGATATAATCATCTTATGTGAGCTTAGGTTTTCGATAAAGTACATTTAATACTGCATCAGCATCTAATTTTCCTTTTACACTTTTTGTGCATAATAGCATATATTATTCTAGTTTGAATTCTAAATACTTCATTTTCATATTAAACAATATATTCAGTAAAATTACACTTTATATAGAATATTTAAAAAAAGAACACTATTTATTAGAAAATAAATAAGGTGATAAACAATAATAATAAATGAATAAAAAGCAGATTACAAGACTGAGAGATGTTATTTTTTTTGCATGATCTTAATCCCTTTCAGATTTAAAAAACAGAAGCGGGAAAAATTTGAATACCTTTAAAAAATAATTCATCAACCAATTGTCAGCAGGAAAGTTTTATACAATTTTATAATGGGAAAAGAATGAACTGTCAAATAAATATCTATATTTAAAACTGACCAACAAGGCAACACTATAATCTTTTCATATAGTATTACAGAGCCAAGGAACTGAATAAAGACACCTTCCACATAAATGGCAACAAACCTCACAGTAATAGCAGATAGCATGGACCCCATAATCTTCACTACGGTTCCCCGCATCAATTTTCATGTTCTGTATAATATTTTCCAGATATGCTGAATGAATATTTCTTGCAAAACAATTTGAAGTCCATGGAGATGCATGGCATAATAGTTTCCATTGAATCCATTCCATCTATTTAAAGCTTTGCAGGCATTTTCACTGGGAATGTGGTACACAAAATATGAAGCCTTTGCTATGCCATATGATATAGACTTCATATTTTCCAGTGTTTCAATCACATCACTTGTCGTGTATGGATAAGCATTTTCATTTATGCAACATAAAATTAAGAGCTTAATATTCCATAGAAAAAGCATGTATAATCCAAAATACCTCTGCAAAGTACTGATTTGTTGTGGTGGTCTCCAGTCAAAGATACGCAGCATTATTCTAGCATCATCAAGGCTGTCCAAACCATTACTAACCAGATGCAATGCGTAACATGCTTCTTAGTGCACCAAGGATCAGAACTGCTCTTAACAATAACGGATCCCACCAGTAGCCGAATTGTGAAAATGGAATCTAAATTAGGTTTCGTTCCAGGAAAATGGACCAGCTGCATGGTTCATTACCACGGTTTTTCTAATGTGTAACATGAATATAAACCTGTTTCTTTGATAAAGTTCTCAACAAAAGCATATCTCCCTTTAGGTATATAGCCCTTATGTGTAAATTATATTCAAATAACCTAACTGAACCTTAGAAATGAAAAATGAAAAAACATTACAATTAACTAATTGTTAGCTGAAATGATGATGTTCCTGACACCACTACTATCTAATTTGACAATATCAGAATACACCTGGTTGGCTATTGTACACATAAAAACAGTTTAGTCAATGATATACATATAGCCCTAATTTAGTCAAAGGATGGTTTGAGCACATATGTGGGCATCTGTAGTACTCAAAAGATCAACAGAAATTTGTCCAGTATAGCATTTCTCTTCCAATCTGCCAAAGCAGAAAGAAATCAGCTATTGCTTGCTGCTATGTTCCTTCTGTAATCATAATCTGCACATGGAGATGTTGCTCTGGATTTAGAACCTTTCATAGTGAAGTCCTGCTTTAAAAGGCATCCATTGCAGTGGCAACTTTAGTAATACTTTGCCCTATCTCAAGAGGTCCAGCTGCTCTTCCAAGAGCGTACTCAATTATATAATATTGCTGAAGCATTTTCAAATTATATTCACTGTAAAAGAACCGTTTTTTAGGAATTAATGCAGTATAGGTTGCTATACAGGGATCACTAACAGGGCAATAAACATTCCATTTTAGTTGTGTGCCAATAAAGAAACAACTGTGTGGACCCACCACACTTCACTTACTCATCCTGACGTGGAAGGACAGTAGAAAGAACTCTCCTCTAATGATTATATAAATTTCCATTGAAAATCATATGCATTGTAAAGCATCTAACTACTCATGTTCTTTATTAAATATGTGTTAAATTATCAAATAAATGATTTTTTTTTCATTTGCCATTTTGTATGCAATCTCTTTAGGATTATAAAGAGATGACTTATGGAAACACACTGTACTCCCGAGAAGACAAGGTATGAAAACTATTTCTTTCTCTCCCTTTGTTCGTTGTTATATAAATAGTTACAATATTACAATTACCAAGACTTTTATTATACTTGTCTACAGCACTTCATTTCAAATCAACAGCAGCTTGAAACACATTTTGTTTTATAGAGGTGATAAAATTAATTTAAAATGGATCTACATAATAAAAAAGGTGAGAAAAATGAGTGAGGTACTTTTAAACTAAGATTCTGAAAGATTATATCTTTAATATTTATGCTAGTTTTCTAATAGCACAATAAGTTCTCTGCCGTTACTTGGTTAATGATATCCCCCTTCATGAAAAATTTTAATGCTCATTATTTATTAATCTCTTTGACTGCCAAATTCAATGATCGTAAAACGAGATAAAAGTTCAGTTTTAACAAAAGTATTGAACACTATTCTTAAGCAATTTTACATGAATCAAATATATTTTTTATCAAATTAACTATAAAATGCTTAACATTTATTCAGTGCCAAGTACATATAGCAACTGCTTTGGTATCTTCACAGAAACTCTGGAAAAAGCATAATTTTTTAAATATGCCAGATAAAAAGAGTAAATTTAATTCATATGTAATGCTTCTTACTCCATTTTATAAAAATTAAACTTTTGGTATGTTATTATTGTTGTTTCAATCCAAGTTAGCTTTTTTGATTAGGACTGTCAAAAGCTGGATAATTTTGCTTTTACCGTACTCTTAAAACATACAAAATTGCTTAAACCACTTTCCTACAATTTAAAGTATGTAAAGATTTGCTAAACAGTTTATATAAATGAATAAAATAAAAATTATAGAATTATCTTACTTTTTAGTTATTAACCTCAAAATGAAAATACAAAAATGTCACACACAAAAAATCTCTTATTAATACAAATTACACATTTGCATATAAACATACATATTTTTAATATGATGATACCTGAAAAGATGGTAAAGGAAACAATAGTTCTCTATCAAAACGTCCTGGTCTTCGCAGAGCAGGATCAATAGCATCTAATCGATTTGTGGCACCAATAATCACAATTTCACCCCTATTATCCAGACCATCCATTAGAGCAAGCAGAGTAGATACTATTGAACTATGAATTTGATCTTGACGAGTTGACCGAACAGGAGCCAGTCCATCAATTTCATCGAAAAATATAATTGAAGGTCTCATAGAATAAGCCTGAGGATAATAGAATGATATTAATGTTTCAATTATTTTAAAGTTGCATTTTAATATAAATAAAATTAATTCGATTTTAGACTCAGATTCTACCTGGTCAAAAAGAAGTCGTAGTTGCCTTTCAGATTCTCCAACCCATTTACTAAGGCAATCAGCTCCCTTCCTCATAAAAAATGCAACACGTTTATCACCAGTGCTGCATTCATTTGCAAGTGCTCGTGCAACAAGAGTTTTTCCTGTTCCTAAAAAGAAATAATAATCAGTTATTTTAAATAAATTAAATGAAGAAGAAAGAAATACAAAAGCTGAAGAACAAGGGAAATGAAATTTACAAGACTTAAGAATACATATTCATTTTTTAAATAAACTTATCAATCAAGTTGATATATGTAATAGGACGGAACATAATCTTTAATTGTCTATTTAGAAACATATACCAACAGAACAAATTTTTTTTAAATTTATGAAACCACTGAAGGAAAGTCTTAAAACAACCATTACAATAACTAAGGCTACATTTTAATCTAATTTCATTTGTTAAAAATATGATAAACTTTGAATTTACTTAAGTGCAAGACTATTTCTATACAAGGTGTTTTTAAATGCAGAAAATTTTGCAAGTTAAAACCTACATCTGCTATAAATTTTCAGATCTAATTGTGGTAGGAAGCATTGATACTTGTCACTGTGAAAAATTCTGATATCTTACGAATATAGCAAGGAGTATGCATTTTGTTCTGTCAACAAGGAATCAAAATCTACATGTGCCTAGATCAAATCTTGTTACGGTCATCAGCAGCAATCTAAAAAGATGTCATCTTTGCCAACTACAAGCATTTAGTGCAAACCATTCTCTATAACCGTAGCGATAGATAGCTTCAGCAGATGAAGCCACATTAAATAAAATCTGACAAAGATGCCATATTTAACACTGCATCATGCACTGCTTATTTTCAAGCATGAAAAATTTCATAGTAAATCTTTCTGAAAGTGACTAATATTTCTGAGGATATAATTAAGTAATAATACTACACATCAATATTCAAATTGTCTAAAGCAACCACCTATACAGATACCAAAATGTCTTTATTTTTCTCTCTTGAACTTGTTAGGAAAACCTAAATTCATAACATAAATAGTTTTAAGTGTCTATAAATGACACTTAAAACTAAAAAGAAAGTCCACAACCTCTCATTACACTAGGACTGGTCACTTAGAAGTTGTTCAGCCTCCTTCAGTGTTTTTAATAATAAGTGAAAAGAGAAATATAAAAAATTAAGATGGTCCTTCCATGTTGTCTCATAGTTCAACAATTAGCACATCAATTTGGCACAATGATATCCTACATTTGATTTCAGGCAACAGTACAGATTATTTTCATATACCTTCCAATCCTACATTCCTTTTGTTTTCCATACCTTAAATTAGAGTAGAAATACACGCTGCCCTCCAAAAGTTAAGGAACAGCGTGTTTTTTGTGTCTAATTTCAGAATGAAGCAACATAGAAGCAAGAAATTTACAGGACATGTTCACTAAGCAGTTCTTTAATGAATGCAACAAAGAGTGTTTCTAAAGTTCAACACATACATTAATTACAACAAAAAATTACACACTTGGCAGAGAAAGCCAGTCTTGGAGAAACAGTATATCACATTTTTTTGAGGAAAAATTGGGTGGTAACATTACAAAAATGGGTTCTAATAAGGAATGTGTCCACCCCTAGCTGCAATACATTGGTGGCAGCAACATTGTATGCTGTCAATTAAGTTGTTGGTCAATGAAATGGGAAGCAATGAGACACAGAGTCATCCTTATTCAAGCTCATCTAACCACTTTGGAGGAGGACTAAAAGCAGCAACCCATATCACAAGGTAGTCCCAAAGATGCTCTATCGGATTCAGGACGGTTATTCTACGCTACGAGAGTCGACAACAAGTTGTGGGCCACCAGATGTCGCTGCTAGTAAAAAACAGGTCTGCTTGACATCCTATATTCTCCGAGTACGGAAGTTGTCGAAAGCGCGTGAAAAAATGTTGCCGCGTAGTCAATCAGGGTTGTCCAGTTGACGTACTAAGTAGACAATGACTTTGTATGCGTTTTTGCCGCTGATTTTTTCATATTTAAATGAAGAATACGGTCGGTAGATCTCTGAATCAACAGTGGCGAATTTATAGAAAATATGTTGATGCTTTTGCTCTGCCCAAAAGATGTTTTCATTGCGTATTTCAGATTCCCAAAATTTATAGTTATTTTAATTTGGGGTGAACTGAGAGAGGTATTTGGAGCCACATTCAGAAAACAAGAACGCAATTTCTACTAAAAGAAAGGTTATACTATTCCTGAAATTATAGATATAAATTGTAATTGTACGCTTTAAAAATGTAGAAGATAATAAGTTTATCAAGCGCATAAACCTTCTTCATTTAATACAAATATAGACATCCGAGAAGCTTCTACTCGATTTATGTACAGCAAGAATTACGTTTACTTTAAAATCTAACAGTCGAATACCTTACGAATAATACTGTGAACACAAAAATGTCGTTCATTATTACGCGAAATTCACACTACTGTAAAATAAAATTAAAAAAAATAATAATAATAATTATAAAACTATAAAATAGATTTATAATATTTTTTTCAGTAATTGTACTACTATTAGTGTGATACTTTTAAAAATAAGTTTTAGCCCAGAGGGGCTATTAATTTCGTTTTGCCATTTTGTGGCGTTTCACGATAAATGGCGTTTCACTTTTCAAATCGTTGCCACCAAGTATTATCGCACTCTATTATATTTAAAGAAATTAAATAATGAGGAATCTGCAGAATGCATGAATGTTTCTCGCACTGTGATAAAACAACGGTACCTAGAGCCATGAAATTCTGAATAACGTAATCCTCCATCCTAATAGAGGCATCTGGACGGCCAAATTTTAATTGGGAATTTGTATTACTGTCCATTTCATATATCATAATTTGTAAAGCATTTATGAGTTTTTGATTAAGAAACCCAACGATTTCAAAGCGAGCAATGGCAAAAAACATTTTCATCTCTAGCGCGCGAGACTATGTATCGGAAATTCTAAAGATATGCTTTTTTTAATTATATGATATTGCTGTTGAATTGAATTTTATGGTTTAAGTGCGAAAAAACATGATATTTAATAAATAAAGGTAACACGCAAAACGTTAAAAAAATGGCCCTTTGGGAGTAATATAAAATCTGAAGGCTTTCATTTTTTTTTTTTTTTTTTTTTTTTGTGTGTGTGTGTGTGTGTGTGTGTGTGTAATTTTAATACGTTTTAAAATTGGTTTTTAAGTGAGGACTTTCTAAGGGAAACTGGCTCGTATACACGTTACACATGGGGAAAGCCACGAAAACGCCGGCCAGCTCGTTCGTGGGATTCGCACCTCGGACCAAATTACCTGCGTTCAGCGACTCTACCGCTCGGCGGCTGGTGGGCTTGTTAGCAGAATTATACTGTGTTATTATTGTAAAGAATTATTATTGTATACTGCATTAATATTGTATGCTATAAAGTAACAATGCTATAAGCACTGAGGGTTTGTTCATGGAATAGTACTTTTGTAACCTATTATAGTATTAAAAAATCATTGTTTCTTTGCAAACTTAAATTAATAAATAAATAAATAAATAATAAAAATACTGTTCATAGCATTCTTATTTTTATATTAAAAGAGATATTGTTTATATTATTTAATGGGAAAGTTTTCTATTTAAAATGTGTCGAAACGCTGGTTTGAAAAGGAACTTGAACTGCAGGAGACCTACATTGATTATTTTTACTTTAGTACTTCCATTGTGAAAATATTACTATCTTTTAATTATTTTCACAGAACAAAATCTTTTGAGAAGGAAGAATAATTAAACTGAGCAGTTCTTATATATATACAAAATTAAAATAACAGCAATGTAATATTGAAAATAAGATATTAGTAATTGTGTGACAAAAATTGCAAAACGAATTAATCACACATACAGGATAGATTAATTTAATTTTGGTTATATATTTTATATTGAAAAAAATTTTCTTATTTTTTAAGTTATAATGTTAATTATAGAATAAATTATTAAAATAAAGCATTTTGATGCGTGTCTGATAACTGAATGCAGCAGCAATCGGCCATACTGTAATAGCGAATGAATTTTATTTCTTTTCCTGAAAGAAATAATTTTCATAGAAAAAGAAAATAAAAAAGGGAAGAAATATTAAGAAAGAAATATTTTCTTTCTAATTTCTTATTTAAAGAAATATTTTTCAAATAGTAACTGTAAAATAAATTGCGGGAAAACAATTTTAATGTAAACATGAAAAAAAAAAAAAAAAAAAAAAGTTTGCTATTAGATTGTAATGCAAATTAATCATATTATAAATTTAAATAATTAAAATGGTTTATTTCTAAAAGGATTTGAAGTAAGCTTAATTCATTTACTCTTATCTATTTACCATTGCTTTCGTGGTATCCCATATCACTCTATTTTTTAGCTCCTAAATCTAATCTCTCTAAATTCTAAATCCTCTCTAATCTAAATCCTCTCTAAATTCCTGCGTTAACTTTCCCATTAAAAAACGAGATTTTCTTTCACATAACACAGCAGCATATTCAGCATGTATTGGTCATAATACTGTTTTGTGCAATTTTTTCGAACTACAAATGCTGCGTGTGAGTTAGTGAAATAATAGGAGAATATTCCTAGAACTTCAGCCAGCGCGCGCTATAAATTTCGTCACTCAGTCTGTACTGCGATTGGTCTAAAGCTCCTTGAAGCCTTGTCCCCTTCCAGTAAAGTTAAATGGACCCACCCGCCCACCAACTGAGGACCACAGAATGGCTTTCTCCGATAAGTTGTGATGGCTGTCTATACCGGTTTTTTTGAGTCAATATTGTTCGCTTAAGTTGTAGACAGATCCAGTGATCATAGAATAAGCGTCCAGGTCTGGGGATTGAGCTTACCATTCCATCTGCTACATACCATGACCCTCAAGATATTCTTCAGCAAGTGCTCTGTGCAGTCCTGCATTGTTGTCCATCAGAAGAAATTCAGAACCAATAGCAGGGGCATGTGTGTGGAAATATTGATAAAGGATCTCATTTCGATATCTCACACTGATCAAAGTTCCTCCATGGAATACATGCAGGTCAGTGTGACCACCAAGAGAAACCCCAGCTCAAACCATTGTTTCACCACCTCTGTAACTGTGTCTTTCCACAATGTGGGATTGACTGTATCTGGTGCTTTGTTTCTTCCATATCCACTCATCTGTGAACAGAGCAGATGCCCACTGTTGACTGTTCCAGGAGTCTGTCCAGGAGACCTCTGTGTCCTTGAGTCAAGGGGACACAAACAACTGATCGCCTTGTATACAGACCTGCATTGTGCAGGCATCTGCACACTGTAGTAGCTAAGATTCTTGTTCCATGAAATAATTCAGAAGCATCAGCATGGAAAAATATACTTCTGTGACTGGCCCTATTAAGAAGCTTCTGAAAGAGTGGCTGTCAACCCTTTTTTGCCCCACGCATCCCTTTCACCACTGCTAGAGGATCACTCTCATCCTTTCGAAAATTCAATAATACATACACATTTATTTAAATTTAGATTATTTTTTAATGTACTTTGTAAATTAATCAACAAAAAGTGTCGAAAATGTTGATAAATATCAAAACTCGGAGGAAAAAAAGCAGTTCCCTATAACCATGAATTAAATCCTAAACAGAAAATAAAAAGCTGATCACATTTCCTTCTGAAATTCTCCCCTTGGACGTATCCACCCCAGTTGAGAACACCTGTTCTAAAAGCTACTGCATCTATGGTAATCAATAAAATGTAAATTGATTGAATAATGATACTGGGTATATTAATGGGTACAATATATACACTGCATTTATTTACTAACTTCGGTAACTTCATGCAAGTTTTCTGATGTATAATGAACGTAAAATACAGACAAGAAATAATATTTTAGTACTGATTTTTAAGTTTAGTACCTACCTGGTTGGCCATAAAACAGAACACCACGGGGAGGAGAAATCTTAAATCGCTGAAAAACTTCTGGGTACATGAGGGGAAATAAAATCATTTCTTTTAGTGACCTTATATGTTTATCAAGTCCACCAATGTGATCAAATGATACCTGTAATATTAATTAAAATGTTATGAATACATTAAAGAAAAACACCATGTGAAATATGCAACAAGATAATTCTATATATAACATAATTACATTCTTATCTATGCTCATAGGATCTATATCAGCTAAACTACTTCCAATCTTCATCCTGTCTCTTAAAACACCTTTAGTGAGGTCATCCTCAATAAAATTAAGAGGCAGGCATCTAAATAAATAAATAAATAAAAACATTAATTCTGTAAAATTAATATACATGTATTATTTTTAAGATAATTGCTGTTAGATTAGTATCCTCCATTTCTCAATTATCATCCCTGAAGTTTTTTTTTCCTTTCAATATATGGCTGCCTACAATTATTGTTTATTCACCATACAGTAATTTTAACACCCTGACTGCTCAATTTTTTTAACATCATCACTTCAAAAATTTCATGTATTCAATTTTATATTTGAAATCTACATACTGAATCTCAAATATTATGCAACCAATGAAATTTAAGGTACAACCAAATCCATCTGTTAAACAAAACATGATTTAAAGTCTAAATATTCCCCAACATACATTACTGATAGATAACTCCTTAACTGCCACGGGTGCATATATATGCCTTGCTCAGCTGATGCGGTAACTGCCCCGGCATATATATATGCCCTTTCAAAATACTATCATTTGCTTTTCAATGCTACCAGTAAAATTATTCATTAATTATTTGGAATGCAACACCACAATGACCCTGACAGAGTAGGAGAATACTATTTCTGAGAAGAGAGGGGGATGTTTTCAAACGGTAAAAGTAATGATTTCATGTCTTTCGTTTTCATTTACAGTTTGTAGCAGGTGCTCTTTTTACAAATATGTTTGATAGTGACTATCATTTGAAAGATGCTTGATGTTGAGTAAAACTTGATATGAAAAACTTGCCTATGGCATCCAACAAATTCAGAAGAAATATATATTCTTTTAAGTATACTGATTTTACAAGGTATAACACTGGAACCTGATATAACACTTTACTGGTCTAAAAATAAATTGATAAAAACTCCATTTTTTGGGGATCTTTTTTATCATACATCTTTTTCATCATACAAACATTACTTTTATTATACAATGTTATTTTTATTATACAAACATTATTTTTATCATACTGACATCTTTTAATTATACAAACACTTTTTTTATTATACTTACATCTTTTTTATTGTACATTTACTCTAAATATTAAATTTTGCATTTTCATTTTTTTTTTATTCTTTATTTTGTCAAAGTAAACAGTTTTTTGATAGCAAAACTTGCACTTATTCCCCCCCCCCAATACATGGCATTACTAAACGCACCTGTGTAAAAAACAGTGGCACTGGGGAGTGAATATTATATGTTTTCCACGACAGTTAAGGGATTAAAAAACATGATTTAGTTTTAATAAAGGTAACAAATGCGTGCCTACAGATATTGCAGAATGAGCAAATTAGGATAGATTTATGTTGCCCATGGAAATCGTGGGATAAGGGTCACAAGGTACAGCCTAAATGTTCTATATACTATTATATAATATTTTACATACAGGTTCAACAGCTTAGGATTCAGTAATCAACACACATTCTAGCACTTTGAAGATTATAACACAAGTCAAACTTTCTTAATTTACTTTAGAAATAACCAAATCTAACCTGTTGAATTTCATCTGAAGTTCAGGTAATTTCACTTAAAAAATAAAACATACCTGTTCCGAGCACGTGCCATACTAATTGCTTTTCTTTTTTCAAACCTTCTTTCATCATCACTAGAGCTACTCGTAGAACTGCTATGAATAGCATGTTTTTTTCTACAAAATAAATTTTTAAATTCGTGATAAACTTTTTTGAGATATAATATGCATTAAGTTATTAAACTATCATTTTGTGTAACTAATTTTATTTACTTAACAATATATGTTAGAAAACAACTAATAAATATTACCTCCTATATATATGAGTTCGATGAGCAGTACTTTTAAAACTTTCTCGTTCTCTAGGACGCTGATGATGTTGCGTGGATTCAAAAATGGTGGCAGTGTTAGACCTTTTGGGTCGTACTGGTTCTAAAGCAAGATGAAAGCAAAATTGTTTCAGAAAAACAATCTTAAAATAAAAACTGACAAAATATTCTTTGTAGAATGACACAAAAATCTGCTTGTCTGCTTCTTCTTCTTCTTTTTTTTTTTTTTTCTTTTTTTTTTTTTTAAAGAATGCTAATTATCCAGTATCTTTATTTTTGTGGACGAAAAAAGTAATCCCCTCATCTGGCCAGCATAAATAACTTAAGATCTTGTAGATCTTCCTACCAGGTTTACAAAAGATAACTTAAGATATTCATTAAATGAACAATTTTATGACTACATACTTGCCTACCTACGACACTAAAAAATCAGACTTTTCTCAATGACAAAAATATATTTTTTAATAATGAATTAACTTTAAATAGTTTCTAATTAATATCTGAAAAATCAGTTATTATTTCTTAAATGCAAACAGTACAAAAATACTTACATGTAAAAAAAAATATTTTTATTATTTGCATCGGAACTTTTCCGTTTTGCCAGCGCAAATCTCGCCAAGCAGACTTTATTGGCGACAACGTACAGTATACACATAAAAAATGTTAACAAATATTAGTTCTAAGAATTTTTAATTTTGAAGGCATAAACATTTTAATATCATTAAAAATTCTGTAAAAAGCCAATAAATAAAGATAATAAATTTGTAAAATAACATTAGTTTAAGAATTTACTATGCTTTCATAGTTCAACATCCTAATTCGCCGGTTTGTGTCACGTCACCCCAAGTGATCTCATTTCACATAAACTACGCTACAAAAATCTAATTCTCTCAGTAATTATCTACATTGAGTTCAAGTTAAATCTTAATTTGGAATACAAGAATTACTTCAGTAGCATTAGGGCATAAAATTGAACTATCTGGTAAAAATTCTATGTAATTGTATGCCAGTATTGAAAGAAACAATCAATCTAATAAGAAATGGCTGCAACTTGTTTTGAAAATGAGGTGTAAATGGTTACCAGTGAGGATATTCCGTTTGGCATCAGCTGTACCATTATTGAAGACTTTATCGCCTGTGCCAGCAAAACGGAAAAGTACCTTTGCGTCTTCTAACGAAAAATAATACTTTAATTAATTTTCGTACAAATCCTACAAACAGTGGCAGGTTTTGCTTTCATTAAGAACGAAACTTCAGAATTCTGTTCATGGCATTTGCCATGTAGCCTTGATTTTGCTAATAAGATTTTTTCTAATGTGTCATTACTAATATTAGATCTAAATTTAGTCCGTTTTTGCGGGAGAGGGGGGGGGAAGAATGAAAGTCCTCTCGCACTTTGCTAAGGGAAATTGTCAGGTTGGCCAACCTTATTCTAGACAGTTCACTACACATTTCAATTCCGTCAGCTTTCAGTTTCTCAATTACACTCCACTGGGTGTCAATCCCAGCTGGTTTTATAACTTTATCCATGTTTTCTAATTGTAACTGCTACTGCAATTGATCAGTTGCAACCAGAGCTGTGGAGCCTGGAGTCGGAGTTAGGCAGATTTTTTTGGTAAAAGGAATCTGGAGTCGCTAAAAACACATCGACTCCAGTTTTTGTGGGACAGTTTGAATTTGAAATAAAATTAAAATGAACTAAAAAAAAATTTAATGGCAAACTGAGTTGTAAGCAGCAACAGCAGCAAAAACTCCCAAATTTGAGGCTAATCTTAGGAAGCGAGCAGGAAAAGGATCAAGCAACAGAATGGGGAAGTACATATTTGATGATATAGAAGTTGTTAGAATTAAGAACTTTTTTAGAAGATGTAGATAACCCTAATGTTTCACTAATAGAAAGACTGTGGAATGATTTTGAATAACTGAAAACTCTTCTTTCTATACAATATAAAGCCACAAAAAAGCTACAACCTGAAGAAATAACAGGAGGTGAAAATGGAAGAATGTGATGTTTGTTTTTTTCTGAAATAGAGGGCTTATTGCACAAGGAGCTAGACAATGAGATCTTGCTGGGTTCAATATATGTAGATCCAAAACACCGAATTTTGTTGGATGACGAACAAATTAAAAAGGAAAAGAAAGTCATCTATGAACTTTAATCAAGAATGAAATTATCCTCAAAACAATTGGAGTATTCAAGCCAGGACAGTCAAATGGCAGACACTGCAACTGAGTCTCTATCACCCTCTTCCAGTGATGAATTAGATTTCGAGAAATATTTGGATAATATTGGAAAGGCTAAGGTAAAGCAAATGAAAATAAGAAACCAAGAGCCTTTAGATATAAAATGAAAAAAATACAAACAAGATAAATATGATTGCTCTTGCAAGACACCTCTTTTAGAACTTATGAAAATCTATCCTGTTGAAAGCCCTAACAGTAACAGCTCTTCTTATGACTCAATTAGTGCGGAAAGATGTTCTCAGCTCTGAAGTTTATCGGATCTACGGTTCTCTAACAAAGAAGACCTCGCCGAAGCTATACTGTTTTTTAGAAATTACTGCCAGTTTTTCCATTTCATAATAAATGCTAATTAGTATAAATAATTTGCTATGCCATCATTTTTTCTGTAGCATCTATTACTTCTTTTATAATAAAAAAATAAGCTGTAACCAAATGTGTATATAAATTACACATATATGAGAAGGTCTGAGTCAGTTGTTTTCCCTACCGACTTCACAGCCCTGGTTGCAACAACATCGTCTTTCAGGACTACATGAAATAAAACTGGAAATGTATTCAATAAATATATCAGAAAAAGATGCAACTGCTAGAGCAGAAACATCTACAAATTTATTAAATAAAATCACTTCATTCTTGATTGGAAATCTATGTCATATGTACCCACATACTCAGCAATAGTAGCTTCTAATGTGGAAATAAAGCTATTTTTGGCACCCTCTGAAGATTATTCCCCTACTTTGCTAGTTGCAGCCCCTATTACCAAATCTTCATCTTTATTCTGATTTTCTATTTCACCATAAATCATATCATATATAGAACTAGAAGACAAAACAAAGACTGGTTTATAAACTTTGATAAAATGTCTTTAAACAGATCATAAATCATTCATTGCAAAACATAAATTATTGGAATTCTGTCTGTAGAACTGTGTTAAGTACAATGAAAAATCGCAAAATGAATTGTAAAAAAAAAAAAAAAAAAAAACTTTGTTAGATCAGAAGACAAAACATAAATACTCGTTCTTCACAAAATAAACTTACAGTAATCGGAAAATGTTTCCCTTTTTGAGCAATTAATTTTTTTATTCTGAGAGAAATGTGCATCAGCTTTACACTTAAATTTTGCAGTATTATTTTGAGAACTGGCAATTAAACTGATCTCACATGTGCAGAAATTATTTTTCTCAAACCTATTTTTAAAAGTGGAAGTAGTAACTAAATTCCCATTTACTTAAGGTATTTTATAACTTTCAATACAGCCTTTTATCTTAACTCTACAAGCATTTATTTCTTTAAAAAATACGAGAAGTGGATTCTGTTGGTCGAGGATTCTAGATAAACATTTCTTTTAAGATAGCCATGTTTAAAACTCATTCATACATGTTTAAAAAATTTTCTTATTTCAGTATTATGCAGCTGTTGGAATTGTTTCAAGTTCTCCTTCCTTTTAGAACTCCTTTCAAGATAATAACAAATATCAACAATGTGTTCATCCACACTTATTGCCCCCTTTTCAGCTGCTAAATTTTAGAGGTGACAGGTGCACCTCATAATCTGCAGATCTGAATTTTCCTTTTTTAAGATGCCTGTAACACTACTTTTCAAGCCTACCCTTACTGGTGCATTACCAGAAGAACTGCATTTTCTTTTAAAGTTTTAATAATTAGATGTGCTATAGTAAAGCCCGTCAAATGTCCTTTCAAAGTGGGGACAAAAAGTAAACTACACTCAATTTCTGAAGACACTGGATTAAGAAAAGAAACAAATGGATACAGTTTTGAATCGATATTATTGCTCGCACCTGTAGAGAGGCAGAATGGAACTATTATAATGCAATCAATAACTGAAGATTTATTTTTCATACTCATTTCTTTAACCTTCCAGCGGGCGCGCGTATGTGTGACATACACTAGATTTTAATTTCGCATTTTTTTCGTAGAGCAGAAGGCGCTATGACCGCGTTCTTGGCTATTCTCTCCTCTTCGTTCGCCCTTCTTTCAGTCGTCTGCTGGATTTCGAGGGGTTAATGCGAGTCTGCAGATTTACTATTCGTATTCCAGAAATACGCGCGACCGTTGAAGTAAGTTTTAGCTATATCTAATTTCCTTTTTTATTATAGAAAATATTTATTCTTTTGCTTCTAAATCTTATAATTTTGTATAATTTGTGTGCATAATTACTTTTAATGATAAAATAGAAGCACTGTATGCGTCACAAACGCACGACCATGTATGATATTTTTGTTCTTTTCTTTTCAGTTATGGCGAATAAAAGTAAAATACTCGACATGAATGATTCGAAGGATCTTGAGATTATAAGAAATATGCTTTTATGTGACAGTGATGAGGACATTATTTTAGATGAAAGCATTACAGATGAAGAAGAGCGAATTTCAGAAAAAGGTGATTCAGAATCGGAGATAAGTGCAGAGGGCAATTCTGAAGAGGTAAATAATGATGATAATTCTCCCGAAAGTGTATATAGTTCATAAAATAGAAAAGTCATCGATTCTTGGACATGGCATTACGAACCGTTTAAGAAAACTAAACAAAGCGCCTCGTAACATATGTGTACATGTTTTTGGAGTCATCGGTAAAGCTAAATATCTAACAGATATTTTGGGATATATGAAAAAATGCCTCTTTACTGATAGTTTGATAGAAACCATCGCTGAAGATACGAAATAAGTTTATTTCTTCTGTGAAGGTCTAATTATTCTCGTATAAGGAACAGCAGAGACACAGATGGAGCAGAAAATAAAAGCTCTTTTTTTGGGCTTACTTTACTTAGCTGGTATTTATCATGGTAACAGATTTCTGGAATCTTGAGGAACTGTGGAGAATGGATGGAATTTTAAAGTAGTAATGAACTTGAAGAGATTTTTGTTTTTACTAAGAGCTTTACGGTTTAATGACATAAACACAAGAGCAGAACGAACGAGAGAGAAGTCGACCGCCTTGGCTCCAATAAGAAAACATTTTTGAAAAGTTTGTCTCTAATTGCCAGAAGTGCTATTCACTCGGAGAGAATGTTACAGATTGTCTTTTTACGTAAGCAACAAACCACAAGATGTTGTAAAAAGGTTGACAGAACCTATTGATAACACTGGAAGAAATGTAACCAATACAACTGGTTTTCAAGTTTTGAGTTAGTACAAGAAATAGATGAAAAAAATTGTCATTTGTAGGTACTTTGAAAAACAATAAACCTCAAATTCCGGATCAGTTCAAGCTGGCGAAAACTCGGGAACCCAATACGAGTCTTTTTGGATTTAGAAAAAATATGACACTTCTCTCCTATGTACCCAAACGTTATACAAACGTCATCTTGATTTCAAATCTTCATGATGACGTAGCAATAGATGAAAATACCCAAGACCAAAAAAAGCCTGAGATTATCACATTTTACAATCGTACCAAAGGAGGTGTGGACTCTTGTAGTTTTCTTCTCTATGATGAATATAGCAGCAATCAACAGCTACACATTTCATTCAACAAATAATAGTGAAAAATTACTCAGAAGATAATATCTGCGAAAGCTAGCAAATGCTCTTGTGAAGGAAAGCGTTGAAAGAAGAATCCCTAACTTTCTTCAAAGTGAGCTGAAATTTAAATTGTTGAAACGAAAAGCAGAATTAGCTGTTGTGTAAGAAATGACTTCAGGGAAAAAAAGATGCAAACCCTGTCAAAATGATAAGCATACTGGAATTACGAGGTTCAGCTGTGAGATTTGTTTAAAATTCATTTGTCTAGAGCACTGTAAACATATTTGTTCAGACTGCACCGATGCAATGAAGTGACTATGAAATTGATTTGTTATGTAATATTTAACGTGTTTTTCACTTACTGATTAAAAATATAAAAGTTCAATTGAAATATTGGCAGTTTAATTTTGTTTTACTTTCAAGTTAGTTTGATAAGTCTTTAGTCCATTTTATATTGTTTTTTTTTTTTCCTTTATACTTATTTTATTTTCCTTAATTTAAAGTTAATATTATTTAACTCAATTGTACTTATTAACATTTAACTATTTACATGCTAATTTTAATATTTTTGCTCTGGAAAATTTATTTTTTATAATAGCGTATCTAAGAAATACACGCGACCTTTCTTGTTGGTGCAGAAGGCGCGCCCGCTGGAAGGTTAACAATTGCAACTGTTTTGGTCCTTGCACTTGGGTATTTTTTAGTAATTTCACTATCAGGAAATATTTTTCTAAATAAAGCTGCAGCATGATCTACTGCATTGTGTTCCATCTAAAAAGCAGAGACATGCATTCTGCATTATAAATGTTTTGTCTTTTGTTTCCATAGAAAAATTTAAATTTTTGTTTTCTTCAATACAGCTAAAGTTGTCATCATGTTTTTGTATATGCACATGCTTCCAGAACATTGGCCTTTCCACCATATGAAAACCAAAAATTGGAATGACAAATGGTTTGGTTTGGTTTATTGAGATTAAGGCAAAGCACACTAGGGCTATTTGCCTAAGGGGAGGGATGCCTTCATGGAAGACTTTCTAACGGAAACTGGTTCGTATACACGTTACACATGGGAATAACCATGAAAACACCCATGCAGCCAGCGAGCTCGCGGTATTCAAACAACGGACCGAACTACCAGGGTTCAGCAACTTTGCCGCTGGTGAGTTCTGCAATGACAAATGATACACATCACAAATATATTCCTTCAGGAAATAATAGAAGGAAAATCACCTGTGTATGATTTTTGAAAAGTAATGAGTATTTTACCTTTTATGCAGACATAACTAAAACAACAAGATCATAATTTCTTAAACTATTTCTCGAAAATACGTGCACTCACACTGCTCAGCGACAAGATGAATGAAATAACCTTGATCCTGCGTAGTGCTTATTGGCTGATATATGATAGATGACCTGCAGTGGCACTCGATACTCACTGGAAAAACTAGAGCAAGATGTTTTTGAACATGTGCTCTCGCTCATGAAGAAGTGCACCTTAATTTCTCACTGATGAAACTACTTTTTTGGTTTTCTATGCAATCATGAGAAAAACCAGGAGCTTTGAGATGCTCAAAATCACTTTTTTTGGGGGAGGGTGGTGCAAATAATGAAGTATGAAGCCAGGCTACATAAAATTCATGAGAAATTTTAGGAATAAGAGAAAGTTGGATGAAATATGTTAGAGCAGCTAGACATTTCCCTAAAGCATCCCAAATGTGCTCGATAGGATTCCTGGGGATCAAGCTGGCCACTCCATGCGCATATTTGTTTCCTGTTGAAGATAATCATCTACGATGTGAGCCCTGTGTGGTCTTGCGTCGTCTTGTAACAAGAAAGCATCACCTATTGCCCTGGCATACGGGCACACATAAACATCAAGGATGTCATCTCTATAAATCTGAGCATTTACAGTTCCCCTTGGAAAGACATGGAGGTCTGTGCATCCACCCAAAGAGATGCCACCCAAAACACAGACACTGCCCCTTCCGTATTGCATCTCTTTCACGGACGTTTGACGGATGATAACGGTTCTAGGCACTCCCCATATCAAATAACGCCTACTATCACTTTCTAGACTAAACCTGGACTCATCCGTAAAGAGAAACGCCCTCCATTGATCAGACGTCCAGCGGACATGTTGTCGTGCACTTACTGAAAACGGTCCATCCTCTGACGTGACATGAGCGGCACGCAAATGGCTGTCGCCTCGCATACAGACCACCTTTGTGAAGCCTTCTACGCACAGTTGATGTTGATATCAACCTTCCGGTGGCTGCAGCAAGGGAGGATCTAAGAAGAGTCGGAGTAGCAGTTCTATTCCTGCGTGCACATAATGTCAAATATCGGTCATCGGCGCTCGTCATAGTAGTTGGCCGTCCCTTGGCTGAACCTCCTAGATGCCAAATCTGTAGTTTAAAATTGCCTCCAAAGTCTATGAACCATAGAAGGACTCACATTTAGCCATCTGGCCACTTCTGTTTGACTCTGTCCTGCCTCTAGTCTCCCAATAGCTCTCCATCGCAGTTCTGCAGGCAAATGATGCCTGGAGGTCATTGTTACGAATTGGCTATCTCAAATTTCTGATGTCACCGTCACAGTGAAATATGTGGGCTTGCTCTCAAACATGGACTTTTATGCTCCTCGCATATGACGTATTTCGAAAGCAGCGCCACTAGTTTGCATATCGCAGTTTTACTCAGCTACTCTTACTTGGAAACATATTCAAATTTTACACAGTTTTGATAATTTTTTAGGGAGTTATTGCCATTTTGTGATTTTTACTTAATTTATGATAACCAGTGTATATGTTATTGCATGAATATAGCAGTAATTTTATGAAAAATTTCTAAAGATACAAGTATTAAAGATATTTACAAAATTAATAAGTAAAACTAGCATTGTAATGATACGTGGTTATTTCTTTTGGAATTAAACTGAAAACATGCAAAATTTTCTTAACAAACTGGTTTTTATATCTGCCACAGTTACATTTTTAAGTGCTGGATAATTGTTGAAAAGAATGAATCCTTTTATCAGCCACAGATATGCTTTCATATAACTAGTAACAAATAGCAGATGGATCTAGCTAGCTATAACATTTTATTACAGTGCAATAACAAGAATTTTGGTCTATCGTACATGCTGCAGAAGAGGATATACATACAATTTTAATATTGAAACTGATGTAAACTTTCACCATCTTTTAGAAATTTAGTATTGTTTTACTTGATAGATAGGCAGTCTTGAACACAAACACAAACTGTTAAACATAATCATAAAGCACTCAATAGGAGGGGGGGGAAAGATCACTTGTTATATCAATCAGCAATGAAAGCAAGACGACTTAGGGAAGGGGAGGGTGAAACAGGTTGATGATACACTGGGTTGAGTAGTATTTAATCTTTATAAATGTACACAAAAAGCATCAGTTATGATAAATGATGAAATATACCACAAAGGATCACAGCAGTAGTTATGAAACTGTTTCATTAAGTTTTATATATTAAATATCAATCATGCTACAAAAAATTGAAAGAAATACCTATAGGAAACTGGAATCTCTCAGTTATTGGCTTTTTTGGCCTTAAAGAATATTTTGGTGCATGATCGACACTATCTTCTTGAGGTTCACCAACAGGTATCCCAGTTTGAAACTGACACTGACGTTCAGCTGTAATAAAATGATTTAAACTTATTTACAATTAATTTCTAATTAAAGAACAGAAAGAAATTACAACATGATTTTGAAATAACTTAATTTTTAAATATCTCCCAAAAATTTAATTGTATGCTTTTAAATAATTCAATGATTAAGCTTTCCTCAGATACAATAATAAACACACTTATGCTCTTTCTCTCTCTCTCACACACACACACACACAAAAAAAAAAAAAAAAAAAAAAACCTCACAATCATACATAATGCTCTAAGCCAGCAGTGCCCAACCTTGTGCTTGCCAGCTAGATTAGGTACTATGAACAAAAAATATTTTTTAAATAACCATTCATTTATATTTCTTAATTGTTAAAATATGGTAAGTATTTATAATCATAAGAGATATCTTGCAAGGCGTTATAAAATAATTGATTGCTGACTGATGAACATGATAGCAAACATGGAATCTTATTGCTTCATTCCGATGGTAGATGGCTCAGCAGGGGAAAAGTACTTCAAAGATTTGGAGAACTTCTTTCGCCAATAAAGCAGTTCTTGGAATCTGGAAACGAGAGTTACAAAGAATTGGACGAAAATGATTGCTTATCCGATCTGCATTTTCTCACAGATATAACAGCTAAATTGAACAGACTGAACGAAGATCTCCAGGGAAAAGAAAAAACCCTTTTTCAATTGACTGGGATGCAACTGCTTTTCAGATAAAGTCAAATTTATGGATAAATCAGATGAAAGAAAAAAATTGCACCTATTTTCCAAATTTATCAAGCCATATTAATAACCATAAGGCAACTGAAACAGAGAAATACTCGAAAATCCTAAATGCACTGAAAAATAATTTTGAACTCCACTTCTCTGATTTCCATAAAGTTCAACCAATATTATTATTCATCTCAAACCCATTTGCCAAAATTAGTATTTCAGATGTATAGCATAAGATTGGAAATATGTTTAACAAAAATGTTGATGTTTTGGAAAGTGCATTTTGGCTTCGCGGTAGGCCAAAATGTGCTCGCAAGAGGCTAAAGATTGAGCACCACTGCTCTTAGCAACATATAGTGAATGCACTTTTTTATACAGGTAATTCTTGACCAATGAGGTGTACTGTCCCAAAGAACCTGTCGTAATTATGACATAAATTGGGATTTATTTTATTTTTGATAGCATGGACAAAATTTTATAAATTAGATTTTCATTTAACATAAAACCTGATTTATTGCAGCTGAAAGTAATCCAACAATTCTGTTTGGCTCAATAAAAAATGTTATCTGATTGGCTATTTTCTTTATTCATTTTACGATACCATCAAATTACTGCTTGAATTTCGTTTCCAATTTTGTGAAATGTTGTTCATTAGATTTTGCAAACTTATGGATTGCTTGAATTTCGTTTCCAATTTTGTGAATTGTTGTTCATCTCAAAAATGTTTTGATCCACATTTTCAAGTAGCTAAGAACTTGATTTAATTTAGAATATGAACCTTTTGTAGTAAATGATTTAATGGTTCTTCTGAACCTTTCTCATTATTCTTTTTTTTTTTTCCTACAAGTATTCCATTTTCGAAATCAATCAGATTGCCACCAGTCAGTTCACGTCCTTTGTGAGCCACTAATTTTTCTACATCCTCCATATTCATGTTAAGATTCAGCATACATACTATTTCAATCATTTCACCACACTGTCCCATGATATTTTCAACACTTCCTGCAGAAACAACTTTTCTCAAACTCCTGGAAAACATTGTTCTGAAACTTTTACTGTGAAATTCCAATATTCTGGATACAATGATAAATATCATATTTCTTCCAAAACTGTGTAACCACAGCATGTCTTTCTCTAAATATTTTTGATTCTCCAGAGTATTTTTATTTACCACATCAACCAAGTGATGAAAACTAACACAGGCGAAGGAAATACACTGCACTTTATAGGTGCAGCAATTTATAATTACACTGCGTTGAGCATACAAAAATAATAAATGTATATGCTAGTTGTTAACTTAAATTAGAGGATTTTAAACTTTAATACTGTCTATCCTAAAAAAGAGTCATCATACGTTAAGCACTACCTATACATGAAAGAGAATACACATTTATCAATGATTTTAGAAAAGAATAAAAAAATATAAAAAAGAATAAGCTTGGTTGAAAATGTTTCAAATCTAATAATAATAACAAAGAAACAATTACTAAGCTAATAAATATAGGTATTCATGTATTTTTATGCTCGAAACTTTCACTACAGTCAATTAATTAATTTAAAATTACAGATTCTTATTTGTTCTTTGAAGGTACAAACTCTTCTTTGCTTCAATAAATCAAAACGTTATTCACAAAACTTCAATCATGTACGTCATCAAATGGAATTTTATCACATGCATAAAGATGAAAGCATATATAAAATTTTTAGATGACAACAATCCATGTCTCAACAAATCAATTCAACTTGCATTAATCTTATTAGGATCTTAAAAAAAAAAAAAAATGTTTTTGAAAACATTATTCTACTATTTTTTAATTTCCTTATGATACAGAATACAGTGAGAAAACAAAAGCATTTCTGTACCTCCTAAGTCACTTCGGTCATCAATGGTATCTGAATCTGATATTCCATTTTGGTCAGTATCTTCAGTATCTGCCATACTTCCTCCATCTTGAGAAATACGCCGAGTGTAGAAACTATGATGTACAGTTTTTCTCCTTTTCCGCTTTACTCGACTATACATATCTTCATATTCCTATCATTTAGAAGAGCACAGAAAAATAAAACTGGTTAAAAATTATACACTGTTAATAATAATAATAATAATAATAATAAATCACATGTCTCCTTATGTAATGAGAAAAATCCATTTAACTCAGAGATCAACTCATAGATTAGAAGTAGTGTGCAAAAATATATAGGTACACATTAGAAGAAATAACATTCCTTTGAGCTTCTAGACTTCTAGATATACATTAATAAGTATTTCTAAAACAATCATGCCTTTAATTTAAACTGCAGTAACACATATCTGCAATAATGTATAAACAAGTGCATATATTTATAGTTTAAAAGGAAGGTATAATTGTCATTGCTATGAGAAAAACTTCAAATAACTCAGATTTTAGTTGTCTGTATGATACATAAAACTATGCTCATATTTCAAATAGGAATGACTTATTTTCTTTCAGAATTGTTACAATAAAACAGACAGTTACAATTTTGTGTTTTTCTTTAAATGCAGGCTAGTCTATGAATGTTTAAGAGTGGGTCAAGACACACACCTGACAAGGGTTATTGACACAAGTCTATAAATCTATCTGATAGAAGTATATAATCTCCATCACATCTTACACGATTATTAAGTACATACTCTATCTTAGCAAAGGGATAAAAATTCTATAAAATGCAGGGAAAAAAATTATTTAGCTTCACTGTTTAGCATTGTGCTCCCTGAAATGTCGTTCAAATTCTGAACCATTTATAAAATTAAATAAAATCCTTTCTTTACTCAAATACTTTTAAAAAAGCTACCACAATGAAAACCTTTTCCACTCCTCCTCCCCCAAACTAAGATATTTTGACATTAATAATTTTGTACATAAATCAAGCAAAAAAATGCATTCCATTTCAGAAAGCAATTTAAATAAATTACTCGCATAATTTTGAAAAACATTTTTTATATGTTTTGCTATTTTGAACACTGATGTGAGAGACTATGAAAATATATATATGTAATTTGAGTAGTTGAGTAACATGCCTCATTCTGATCTGTGATAAACTGCTACCTATGTATAGATTTAACAGAATAATTAACTAATTAACTACTTTACATATCTGCATTAAATATAACAAACAGCAACTAACAGAAACAAGTATAAGTAATTTTATTAGATGCAGTTTCAGAACAACCACCTATCTACAAGAAATCATACAGAACTTTCAATAGAAACAATATTTAGCTAGGTAAATATTGTTTCTATTGAACACGGGGAAGGAGAACATGAAGACACATACACAGCTACCTCATTCAACCAAGAATGAAACGAATATACAGGGAACTCTCAATTAAGCAATGTCCATTCTAAGATGGCTTTTCAGTTAGTGAAGATAAATTCTCTCCACTGTCCCAAAGAACATGAACATTCTACGTTAAAGATCTTATTTAATGTGAATAAAAGTTTCTTGAAAAAGGAAGGGTTGCCCAAAGGAAAATCAAACCTGAAACATGATTTGTTTCAAGAATTTATTTTTTCAAACTAGTGAATTCTTTTTATTTCCATTTATCTCCAATGAAAGGAAACCGAAAAGTAACCACAGCTGAATATTATCAGTGAAAAGATGAAAATGGATATCAAATGTCAGATTTTTTTATAAAATAGGAAAAAATGTTGAAAACAAACATCAGTCTCTGAAAGAAAAATTCTTATCTTGTATTAGCCTCTTAGCGGTACCTGAAATAAGTGTTGCTTTCTATTTCTCTGGCTTGTGAAATAGCCAGACTGATCATGTAAACTTAAAGAATTTATAGAATGAACAGAATACAAAACTTTATTTATATTACATAGTTGATAAGAATTCCTAATTTTTTACATTTCCTTAAGCAAATTAAATAGCAGTATTAGCTTGTATGAAATTTTAATAACATAGTATGTATGTAAACATCTTGGTCATATACACAATGGACTGAAGAAGTTTATTATCTTGTAATAACTTGGAGAGTCTTTACTGCATGCACAGAAGGATGACACTTGCAGACAGATGCAGCCGTAGATTCAACATAATTTCATTATTGGATAAAGCTAATTCTTAAGACACGTAATCTAATTCACATCATTATAGGCACAATATGAAGGCTACATTTTTGATAGCTTAGCACAGCTACAGACAATGGACAATACAAAGAAGTGACACACATGCATGTTTACAAGAGTGAAGAAAAAGGAAAAGTGACTATGCATTTAGAAGAAGCAGGAGAGAGACAGTCTAAAAATTTTGGTTCTTAACTGAAATCTTTAACCTAGTTGGTTAAAAGGTATCTGCTCTTTAGTGTTATGTAAGATAGTATAATAGGGAATAATTTTGAAACAATGCAGTAAAGATTGATATACTACAAAAATAGTTATTATTTTTAGAGCAGAAAGGGGAAACATTCATGTTAAAATGAAGAATAAAAGGACTATAGCAAAATTAAAGTTAGTAGTTTGTTTTCATATTTTTTATCTTAATTTAAAAACTCAATTTCCATCGAATTTCTTCAGTAGGAGATATTTTTAAGATGAACTATATAAAAACAAAGCAATTGTTAAGAACAATCAAGAGTTATCAGCACAAAATGATTCAATTTATCTGTTCTTTATACTACATGAAGTGGGGGGAAAGCCATACTGTACATGCATATACATTTGTTTTGTAACAAATGTTTCCTGAGAATTAATTTATTATATTTTATTTTATTAATTTATCTACCAGTGTCACAAGCAAATATTATATTTACGTTATTCTCAACAGAGTGAAGTTTTAACTATTCAAACAGTATATATACCCCTGTTAGTGTGAACAAAAATCAACCATTTTCACTGTCTGCATTAATGAAAATCTACTACTCTAGTATCTATGATCTTAACTACTGAAGGAAAAAAAAAACTGGGATATAGCAAATACTCAACATTATACCTAAAGTGATTTAATTTTATGCAGTGAAATATTATACATATATGACCTGCTTGGAAACATTTTACATGTTTTTGTTCTTAATTTTAAATTACTGCATATTTTCATTTACCATACTTTAGCAACATATTGAAGTATACAGCAGAATATAAGAAAACATATGAGCTAAGCAAACTTTAAAACAAAAAGCACACATTTAAGACATAACACAATGAAAAATATACTTACAAGGCTTTCTGGAGATAAACCCAACCGCCTGATTTCTGAGCTGTGGTTCCTAACTGATCTGCGAGGTCTCACAGTCACACACTGTTCTTCTTCTCTAGGATCTCTTTGGTCAGTGGAAAACAAAGACTCTAACTTGGAAAATTCTGGAATACTAGAAGCTAAAAGCCATGTTTGATTCAGGTTATCATACATGAATTTCCTCTGCCTAGTGCTTCTACGCACATTTTGTTTTTCATCCACACTCTCTGTTCCATTTACATACATTTCATTAGAATTGGAATGTGATGACGACTTTTGATCTGCATCTCTACTGTTTTCAAGTTCTCTTTTTATTGAATGAGGCAGATGATTCGTAATTTTTAAACCTATGAAACAAAAACAAAGAATAAATATCTAAAAGATAATATCCAGTCATCAAAATTATTCAGTTACATTGACTACAGCATGTATATGTACAGCCAGTTTTTAGAAATTTATTCCTATTGGAAAAAATGTCGAATTATTTATTAATGTGTCATTAATTTTACAGATATATAACCTAATTATATATGTTTATAGAAAGGGGAAAGTTTGCTTTTATATAAATTGCATTTAATACAAAAGAAAGGTAATTAGACTATCAAAAATCATGAGAGAAGATTACTATCTCGGCTTGTGTTTCATAGATGTTATTAAAGAATTATAATTTCATGAATGTACTGTAAATCTAACATAAAAAAGTGAACACAGAAAAAAAAAGCTGTTATATGCACATACCATTCCTACCATACTTCTGTATATGATCAGCCATTTTTCGACGTTTTGTTGAACAATTTGTAAGGGAACTTTCATCTGTATCTGTGTCCTATAATAAAAAGCAAAATAACATAAATGTACAATATTTAACTTCCTTCCCTTTCTGTTAATGAGTAAAAGAATATTTATCCCTATATTCTAGAAAATGAAAATGGTTCTTAATTTATAATTGTGAAGAATTTTAATTATATACTGAAATTAATAACAGAGATTACAGCAAATCCAGATGAACATAAATAGCTAGCAGATAGGTAAAAAATAATGGAACTGACTTTTATTTTGTAACATAATATGCTCTTTTACTTTACATAATTCTCAGTGACTCAGAGGATTCAATTTAATTTACATTAGGAAGACCCAAACACTATGATAACAGGAGCCATATAATAGAATTCACAAAAAATTAAGTGCCAAGAGTCCATATAAATACCATTTTAAAAGTAGCAAAATAGGTTTTGAATGCAAAGAAACACCTGAAATACATTAATTAGAATTTTGTACCTTTTATGTAATTAATATGGTTATACACAAATACATAATTCTTATTTCTCCTGCTCTATACTCAAGAAGTGTATTCCTAAGATATACAAATATCTGAAACTATTGTATACTATTGTATGAAGCAAATGGACATTCTTTTAGCAGAAAGCAAAAACAGATTTTCTTCTGGTTTTCTCTTTCTGTCCATTTATAATTGTTGACTGATTTAGCACAAGTAAAGTGAAATTTAAAGATGTAATGATTTTTAGGACTCCAATAATGTATAAAACTTTTCACAGATCCAGTAAATTTTCCTTATTTTTATTTCATATTCATTCCTTTCAAAAGAATAAAACATACAGCTTTTGTGCGAAAGGATAATTTACTCGTCCCTAAACAATTAACTCAGATCAAACTCAGCTTTAAATAACCGAACTAATTATCAATTATTTTCTCCCCTTTTTCAGGGTGATACATTGAATTCTCAAATCCCGTGAATTTTGAAAAAGATCTGAAATTTAAAAACTTGAATTTTAATGCATTTTTTATGCCATTTTATCTATATTCTTCTTAACATTCCATTTTAAAAGCTGGTTTTTCATAATATTATAGTCACTAAAATTTCAAGAACAGAAACAAATTTAAATTGAGAATTACAATATATTATAGTGAAAATAGTGTTGGAAAAAATTACAAAAACTACTAAAATTTTCATTTTAATAAACACTTTTATTATTAACCCAAAAGGGCTATCAATCTCAAAGCAAGATTTTGCACTGTTTCACTTTTCATTCTAATCTTTTGCCATGTGGCAAAATGCAAGATACTTATTTTTCAAATTTAATCAATACTTCCTTATTATTGAAGCCCTCGACCTTAGGATTGCACCAAGATTGCAGCTATGATTTTGCCAAGATCATAAAGTATGAATGTAAAAATAAACCATGCAATATTATTTTTTCCTATGAACTTTCTCCACATAATCCTATCGAATTCCACAAAATATGATTTAAGCTAATGCCAAGCCATGCCCAGTTGTTTGTTATTATGCCACTTCGCTAAATCCCACTTCTTTCCATATTTTGGGTGAGAGCACCCACTGCTGGGTCAGTATTGTGTTTATGGTTCACATTAAAATGACTGCAACCTAGCTTCTTCAAGTTGTTCCATTTTATATCCTTTCCAGCAATCTGAAGAGAATGCTGATCCATCTTTCAAATGTTTAAAAATTTTGTCCATAAGTGTACCAGCATCTCTACTCGAGATTTGAATAACAAACACCATTTTCCTGGCATATTCCTCCAAAAATTCCACTATTGTGGGAGTACTCTGTTGCAGAACATCTGCCCATTGAACCTTTACATTAGATGTAGGGAACACACTTCCCACATGTAATTGATCCAATCAATGCAGCACTTTCACACAAATTAAGCTGTTTGTCATGCCATTTGATGAATAGCAACTGTTCTGCCCAAGAAACAAAGATTTAATAGCAGTCGCAAATGATATTCTGAAACCACTACACAAATTTCCAATATAGGAGGTCCTTCTTTTTACAACACAGCTGCCAACTTTGAAAAACTTAAAAACCAGGATATTATTGCAAGAAAAAAAAAACTTGAAAAAATCATGTGGTCTTCACACTATGCAGCAACACTATTTAAAAGAAACTCCAAATTTATTCAAATTCACTTAATAATGCATGGTTCAGGCTACTGAACTCATTAATACTACTGAACTACTTTAATTCAATTCTGATGTAAAATATATCAGCACTTAATTGGATATTTTAAATTTTATGTTCTTTGGCTAATATCATTTTTTAATTTTCGAACATTTTTATATCGAGAAAATCTTAAGCATGAAAAGAAAACTTTTATTCATCAAAGCACTTTTAAATATAATGAAAATAAAATAAATAATAAATGTATACATAGTATTTGTGTGAATAAACTTAGTAATGTATCATGTATTGAAGTAAATAAAATGAAACACAAATCACTGCTTGAATCTTTAAACAAAAATCTACAAATGTCTACAGTATATTAAGACAATTCAGACCAAATGACACTTAATAATACAAACATTAATAAAATGTAATAAGATAAAATATAACTTAATAAGAAAAATTATTCTGAAAATCATTAGAGGTGAGGAATGGAATATGCCTAATTTAATTTTCATTGATTAATTAAATTTCATTCATTGCTGGAAAACATTTTCCTTAGTAAAAGGCCAAAAATTAAAAATCAGGAGATTTGGTGATTTACCAGAACATTGGGAAATGTCATGAATAACTGGGAGAGTTAGCTATGTTATAATTTTTTTACATTGCACCTCCAAATGATTTTGTTGTTAAGTTATAGTTTCACTTTATGACATTTTCACATATTTGTTTGCTACGTAAAAGACCTCTTTCTTGAAAAATAATATATAAATTTCTTGCTACTTCTTTATTTGATAAATTAAAGACTGTCTTCTGCATGCCTTCATGGTGCAATGGTTGCACACTAGGCACGTATTCGAGAGGATCCAGGTTTGAATCCCGGCGAGGGCATTGTTAATTTTTCAGGCCTCCAGCATCAAAATTTTTTTACGTTTTCTTGGCACTCTATAAACTTTTCTACTACTTCATGTTTCTTATGGAAATATTTTTTTTTTTCACCTCAAAAGAGGGGTATTGTTTACGGCTTCCATGTCTGCATTTTGGGTAAATGAAATCTAGGAGAAGAATGGAAAGAAACTACAAGCAGCTTTACCATCTAAAACAAGATGTCTAAATAGTCTTGTGCACAGCAGATTATCAGAGTGCTGCTATTCAGCAAAACATAAGATCTTTAATTTAACTTTCAAATTTAATTGATCTACTATGATCAAGAATAATGAGGCAATTAAAGAAATTTTTCATTTACTGCATTTACTCAAAAGAGAGCAAAGATATGTATACATATACAAAAAATTAGAAAAGTAGACAAAGTTCAATTTATAAAAATTATGAAAGAACTAACAAATTTAAAATTAGCACCTAGTGCTGCTTAATTTTATAAATGAATTTTAAAAGGTAAGATTAAAATACCTAGTAAAAGCTGTATGAAGATCTGCACTCTATCTATCTCTGTTTCCAAATTGCATTACAAAAGAAAAAAAATTAATAAAAAATTTTAACCATTAACGTTAGAACCGAAATTGCTAAATACATAAAACTGGCAACCTAGGAGTATCAAAAACATAGCTTAATCTCTTTTGTTCAGATCTTCAAACAGAACTTGTCAAGGGAAAAGTGTTTTCAAGCTTCAAACCAAGTTGATTAGCTAGACAAGCTAAAACAAATTTCGTTCAAATTCACTGAGACTTTGAACGGCAAAGTGAACTTAAATTCTTTAAGGTACTTAAACAAATGTACAGTCTCATTGAATTTGTCTCTTTTCCAAACCTGTTTCAGCTGTCCAAGTCACAAAAAAATTGAATGTTAAAATAAGTAATACAGTCAAAAGTCGTTAATTCGGACACCCATAATCCGGAATGATCTATAATCCGGACCTCAAAGCTAAAAACTTTCTGCGCATGCGCCGCGTTGACGCATGCGCATAGGCGTTTACGTGTGCGCCTAAGACCTTTTACGACTGCGCATATGAGCGTGCGCAAGTGCAGAATACGTTTTCGCGTGCGCGCTTTATGTATAACGGACGGTATGAGCTAAAATTATCTAATTATCTATTTCAGTTAATGTTGATGATTGCGTTGTTCCTTAATCTTCGAATTGGATCCGGTTTATTTTTTGCAGACTGTAAGAGCAATTTTATAAAAGTAAACTTGAACTTTCGATTATGTCAAATAGAATTTCCGATGCTGGAGCTCACAAAGGATCTACAAAACGAAAGTATGTTTCGATGTCCATCAAACAAAAAGTGGAATTGCTGCAAAAAATGGATAAAGACATGAAGAAGGTGACACAGAGGTTAGTGAAAACGAAAAGATTTCGATTGACAAGTTAGTCGGTATTCTCGGCACAGCAATTACGGGACTTGAACAGCGGAACTTTGTAAATGAACAAGAAATTATGTCTGTTTATAGAATTAAAGAGAAAGTATTATCACATAAAACGAAGCAACTTAAACAACTTACATTGAAAGAAATGTTTAATAAAGTAAACAAATAAATATTAAGCTTTTTTTTTTTTTTTTTTTTTTTTTTTTTTTGTAAATTTTGATACCCTTTAGATCATAATTGTTCTTTATTTCATAAATTACGGTTTCATATTTTTAATTTTAGAATTTCTGCATGCCATCTTACGAGCTTTAAACTGATGATCTATAATCCGGAATCGCCGAAGTCCCGACGAGTCCGGATTAACGACTTTTGACTGTACTAACTAGTGAAACCAATATACTATCAAACACCAGTAAAATGACAAAATACAAAAAAAAAAAAAAAAAAAAAAAAAAAAAAAAAATCCTAAAAGGAATTTGTCATTCCAGAATAAAATAAATCCCACAGAAAAATTGTAATAATAAAAAATACTAAAAGTAAGCTAAAACTATTTTCAATCATGGAAATTAATTTGACTGT